GTCCCCAGGACCAATAGGGACCTTGTCGAATCCAGGTACTAGCAATCCACAGTAGGCTATACAGATTTCTGTTACTAGCTATTAGGTGATACTTTAGCTTGTACTCTATACACTAGTACGCATAGAATCTGTATCCGTAGATTTGACACCGGAATGATATCCGGTTATTTGTTTTAATACCATTAGGGTATTTTTTAAACAGGGTCCCGCTTTAGTACCTACCTTGTGTTCACTATATGTACATTAGCACGTTTGGAATATTATTCGCGTTTTTCTTCACTACATTGATTTATAATAAAATGTATTTATTTTTTCGTTTTTATCAGCTCAATACTTTGTCTGGCAGTCATCTTGCTGCAAACCTAGATACTCATTTGTGAATTTAGGGTTTATAACACAGGCTACTCAGGTACACTACTCTTGCCTCTTTACATACAAACACACACACAGACACAAACATACACAAACATACAGACATACACATACAGACAAACACTGACGTACAGATACACAGACATACATACACATGCATACATACAGACATACACAGACATAAACACACACATACAGACACACAGACAGACATACATACACACATACCTTTCCCTTGGGTCCAGTGGTTCAGCCAGATGGGAGTTCCCACTCTGACTCCTTCCTCCTGCACGGCTCCTGGTGGTTGCTGGGAGGAAGTGACTGGGCAGTCACTTCCTCCCAGCGTCTGACATCATCAGAGGGGGCCCGGTCGCAGATTTAGGAATTGTTATAGATAACAAACTAGGCAACAATGTGCAATGTTAATCAGCGATGGCTAGTAAGGTATTGTCATATATAAAAAGGGGCAATCAATTTTCTTGATGAAAATATAATTTCAACACTTTATAAATAACTTGTAAGAACCACAACTTGAATATGCTGTGCAAGTTGGGAACCTGTTCTAAAGAAGTGTATTATGGCACTAGAAAAAGGAATGGAACATTTTAGTTATGAAGAAAGTTTAACAAATTTAAATCTGTTTAGAAGAACAGCGCCTCGGAGGTGATATTATACAAATATATTTGGGGCTAATAAAAACAATTGTATGGAAATCTATTCATAAACAGGACTGTCCATAGGACATGAGGTCACATGTTTACACTAGAAGAAAGAAGAAATAGTCTAAGGCAAAGGAAAGGATTTTTTACAGTAAGAACAATAAGGATCTTGAATTGTCTGCCTGAAAAGATGGTTTTATCAGAGTCTAAACAGATCTTTAAACAGCAACTGGATGAATACCTTTTAAAAAACATAATATTCAGGGATTTCATTTTTGGGGGCAATAGTTTCTTGATTCAAAGAGAGATCCGACTGCCATTCTGTTGCAAAATTTGAATATTCTTGCTTTCTGTTGAATCAACGGCAAAAACAGATGTGAGAAAGACTGAGCTTGATGGACTTTTCAGCCAATGTAACTGTGTAAAATATAATAATATATTTGATATAATAATATACATATTTATTTTCTCACAAAGTTCACAAAAATCTTAATATGAATTTTCCATGGATTGAGGCAAAAATAAATTGGCTTGAGTTTGGCCAAGGTAACCACTGTGTGCTTAAATGGGAAATGTCACTTCAAGATTTTATTTTATATATTATGTTTGCTTATCACCTATATTTAACAAGTGTTTTTGTAATGTATGGAAATTAATAGGGATGTGTATGGGCATTGTCACTTCCGCACTTCGGTTCGGCACTTCCGAAATTCGAAACTTCAGCAATTCGGGACTTCGGAATTAGGAACATCTGTAAGGCTCCCTAACCCTATCCATAACCCTACCCCTACCTCTACCTCTACCCCTGTCATCATTCAGGTAACTTTCCCTCCCTCTCTTGCCACTTTTCAGAAATCCAAAGCACTTCGGCACTTCCGAAATTTGGCAATTCAGCACTTTGGCAATTCGGTTCGGCACTTCCGAAATTTGACACTTCGGCAATTCGGACATTCTGACGCATCCGAATGCTCGAATTGCCCGAAATTCGGCCGAATTCATATTTGGAATGAAACAAATTGTACATGTATAGGAATTAAAATAAATATAGACATTAACACCTCCTTATCCTGCAATTCAGGCCTCTGTTAATCATGGTTATAAGCTCAATCCTTTGCACCTGGGTGAAGACCTAAAAATACAGACAAGAGGAGAAATGAAATAATTATTCTATTTTCTTCTCTTCATTTGCCCCAATGCCTATACTGGACTTTTCCTTGTCTGAGCTGGATTGTGATGTCCATTTGCTAAGTCTAATAATATAAATATAAAAGAAGCATCTCACAAAAAGAGGAAATGTAAATTTTTAACTAAAACTTAGCTATTGGTTGCACTAAAAGTTTTTTAAATTCATTTTCTATCATTCTATTTTAAACTTACATACTTTGCTGCCAAGGCCAGGTAAAACATGTAAATGAGATTACTCTCGCCATGCATGGCGCATGCCTGCGTACGGCATTGTGATGTGATAGAGAATTGGGTATGCGCATGCCAGGGCCACCACCAGAAATTTTGGGGCCCCTAACTGAGCTCAGGGTCTGGGCCCCTGGGGGCCCGCCTCCAAAACCGCCCACAGAGACCACCTCCAAATCCCACCCACAGGAATACACACAGACACAAACACATTCACTGATACAAAATGACACAGATACACACACACATACTAACAGACACACAAACTGATACGCATATAGGCATACATACTGACACACACATACTGAGACATACACACATTTAAAGACAGACACATACTAACATACATACAGACACACATGCATAAGGACATACAGACACATTCATAATGACATACAGACATTCATTCATACTGGCCTACATACATTTATACAGACGGGCATACACACATTCATAATAACATGCAGACAGACATACACTGACATTCATATACACATAATGACATGCAGACATACATACAGCCATACATTCATACTGGCATACCGCCCCCAAATGCCCAGGGCAAATGCCTGGTTAGCCTCGCGGCTAACAGACATGCCGAGCGGGCGGGCTGCACTGGGCGGGCGGCTGGCGAGGGAGCTCTTCCTCTGAGCTGTCCGCTCAGCTCACTCGCGCGCCGCAGAGTGAGGCTGGGAGCCGGAATATGACGTCATGGTGAGGGGAGCTCTTCCTCTGAGCTGTCCGCTCAGCTCCCTCGCGCGCCGCAGAGTGAGGCTGGGATCCGGAATATGACATCATCAACCCGGCTCACAGCCTCACTCTGCGGTGCCTGAGGGAGCTGAGCGGACAGCTCAGAGGAAGAGCTCCCTCGCCAGCCGCCCGCCCGCCCAGCGCCGCCCGCAGCCACTGGACCACCAGGGAGATAGAGAACCCCCCCCAGCATTCCCAAAGGTAAGGAGGGGGGGGGTAAATTAAAAAAAAATGTTAATGTGAGTGTGTGTGTGTGTGTGTTTGTTAGTGTGTCTGTTAATGTGTGAGTGTTTGTTAGTGTGTGTGTCTGCTAGTGAGTTAGTGTGTTCTGTTAGTGTGTGTCTGACTGTGTGTGTCTGTTAGTGTGTGTGTGTGTGTGTGTGTGTGTGTGTGTGACTGTGTGTGTTGTCAGTGTGTATGTGTGTGTGTGTGTGTTGTCAGTGTGTGTGTGTGTGTGACTGTGTGTGTCAGTGTGTGTGTGACTGTGTGTGTGTGTGTGTGTGTGTGTGTGACTGTGTGTGTTGTCAGTGTGTATGTGTGTGTCTGACTGTGTGTGTTGTCAGTGTGTATGTGTGTGTCTGACTGTGTGTGTTGTCAGTGTGTGTGTGTTTGTGTCTGACTGTGTGTGTGTCTGTTAGTGTGTGTGTGTCTGTTAGTGTGTGTGTGTCTGACTGTGTGTCTGTTAGTGTGTGTGTGTCTGACTGTGTGTCTGTTAGTGTGTCTGTTAGTGTGTGTGTGTGTGTCTGACTGTGTATATGTGTGTGTCTGACTGTCTGTGTGTCTGACTGTCTGTGTGTCTGTTAGTGAGTGTGTGTGTCTGTTAGTGTGTGTATGCGTATCTGTCAGTGAATGTGTGTGTGTATTTAGAAGGCGGGGGGAAGGGTTGGGTGGGGCTGGCGCAGGGGGGGTGGGGCGCCTGAGGTTTGTCCTGCCTAGGGCAGCACAAAACCAGGATACACCACTGTACATACACACAGACATAGACATACATACAGACAGACATACACACACATGCAGCTCATTTTCCAGCCACCCTCCTGTTTCTTACCTTTGCAGGCGGGGGGCTGGGGCTTATGGGACTGGGAGTCGGCTGGCTCTCCTTCTTCATTGCCAGGCGCGCGCTCCTCCCGCGCGGAGTGAGCTGGGAGGAAGTGACCACTTCCTCGCAGCAGCACTTGCGCTGCGGCGGCATTTTTTTAAAGGGGTCGCGCTGTACCACGGCCACAGCGCTGACCGGGCCCCTGAAGATATGGGGCCCATCGGGGGGCCCTAAGTGCATGGGCTCCATCAGCATGCAGGCGCTGGTGCAAGTGCACCGGCGGCAGTTCCGCCGCAACGCCCCCAGGGCCGCCTGGGCCCGTGACAACTGTTATGGTTGTCACCCCCTGATGGCGGCCCTAGCACATGCATGCAAACAATATGTCTCTGTTATGCATGTGCATACCCAAAGTAACTCAGTACAATGAAGCCCTTGAAATGCAGAAGTGCTTATTGGAAGTAAAGGAACAAGGAAATGTCACTTTTTTTCTTTAACATGCATTAATGGTGTAAATCCCAGCGAAATGACATCTCCCCTCTAATTAGGTCAAAGTGATCAATGTATTATTTATCATATGATTTACACAACTTTTTCATAGTGAGGGCTGTGCCATGAAGATGCATAGGCTAATGACCTAGACCCAAAGAAATCAATGAAAGAGAACATAATATCTGATAATTTGTCAGCTGTATTGTGGTTGAGTGGTGCATTCCGTCTTTTCAGAATTCTTAAACTCTTTGTGGAATTGAAAATCAATCAAAACGAAGATACATCTTTTCTCAACAATATTTTTGTTTATTCAGTAAAAATTATTACATAGCCTTTTGGATACACAATTCAGTGTTTGTATGATGTAGCTTAGAACAAACATATCAAGTTTGCAATTATCTTGCTAAATAGACAGAGATGATTTTCTATGTTGTTTCTCATTGCATGCAAAGCATTAAATCATGATAAGGTCACGATTTGTCCAATTTACAAGTGACTATTGAAACTACATTAATTAAAAGGAAGGTTAAACACTTATGACTTGCTTGTAGATATTTCTAGATTTCAGTGTTTTCAAATCTAGGAAGGGAAAAAAAGGTTAAAGTACATTTGGTTAACAAAGTATATTTGGTAAAGTTTAACCCTTTAATTACATATTTTCAGACAACAACCTTTACAACTGTTCTGTTAAAATAAATACATGTCATTTCTCACTTTGTGTAACCAAATAAATTACCAGTCATTTTTGGAAGACTGATGTGGTGAGGGTTATCAGGTCAAAAACAGGTGGCAAAGTGTTAAATAAAGAACCATCTCAATGGAAATCAATGTCTTAACAATTAGAGCTTTACTCCCACAATAGCATCTGTTTTACCTTGATAAATGTCCTCATTATATCAGATTTTTTTTTTGTGTGTTTATTTGATCTGGTACATGTGTCAACCAAATGATATTGTATCTAAATGTAAGATGTATTCAAGGTCAAGCACCTCATACTCTGTCCCCCCCAGATGTTGCTAGACTACAACTCTCATTAGTCTCTGGCCTTCTGTTGCATTCCAAGAATGCTGGGAGTTGGAGGCAGTTAACATCTGTGGATCCAAAGTTTTAGATTCTGATAAACACACAAACTAAAACCACTTCCTGAAATTAGTTAAAAATACCTATGACCTGAAATATCTATGGTTTAACATGAAAACAGAACTACTTAAGAAATTCAACAGTTATGACCTGAATTTTTTCTTATATAACATACTTACTAACAGCACTGATGTGCAAAAATAGCCTTTGCAAGTGAACTACAGCATGTTCCCTTAATGCACGCTTACATTAATTTGTGATGAGTTTAAGTACTCCATATCTTTGGGAGTCTTTTAAAGATGCCACAGATAAAGTTAATCCACTTTTGCTATATCTGAACCTAATTATTCATGAACCTTAAATTTCTTTCCTATACTCACTGCTCTGAGGTTTAGTTTAAAATAAAATGTGCTTAACATATCCTACATCTATGAACTTGTGCATCTATGAATATACAATTACCTCTAAAACTGTAAAGATAACTTTCTCTGGTTCTCTAGTCTAAAACACTGATTTGCCATTTGTAACAATTTACTACTTTTCTGGTTGTCTAGTCTAAAACATGGATTCACATTTTGTAACAACTTGCTTATTTTTAAGTTGTTTAAAGTAACATTAGTATGTGAAATGGATACTTTGGGTACTATAACCATTTTAGCTCATTTAATTAGTTATGGAGCCTGAAGTCCTCTGATGTGCACCATTCATTCATGGGGGGTTTCTAGCACAACACCCTTAGTAGGGTCCTGAGAAGCCACAAGTCTAATTTTGTTTTTTTCTTTGTTGGACCCAAGCCTCTTGTAATACTTAGAAAGAGAGATACCACTTCCAAGTGTATACATTGTATCAAAGCCATTTTAAAATACAATATTTGGAGTTAATTATATAGCACAATGCGTATTGCTTTGGGTGCAGGATTTTAATCCAGTGAAGTGAAGGATTAATGCAGCCTGGTGTGAGGATAATACTATAGGTTTTATTGAATTGTCATACTCTGAAGTCAATAAAAGTGCTATGCCACAATGTGATTTATAGAACATATTTGAGTTTGAAGTTGGCTTTAGGGAATGGTATAGATTTTGGACCAGCTTAAGTATTGAGGGGCAATAAAATTTCCCCTTTGACTTAGGCCCTGGTCTTTCAAGTCATTTAACACGGAAATGGGGTCCTTTGTCAATTACAGCTCAAAGTAAACTGCAGATATAACCAAGGAAAAGATTGCATTCTTCCTTAGCCATACCAATTCATACTAGCAATGGGTGGCAGAATTTAGTCACATAGACTGTATTGCTGCATTTGCTATCCTGTTACTGGTCTGTTTCCTGCCACCCCTGATAACCAGCATTCCAGCTATTCACTGTTAATCATCTTTTCATTTTCGATCTACTTAAACATTCAATCTCTCCATTGTTTCCCTTCTGTATGATTATATTTGTGCTAAATGACATATAGTTGATGCTCATTCTGTTTATAAATTAAATATAACTTACAGGAATACTATATTTGTGTTAATCAAGATACAAGTATTCTATCTGGGGAGAAGGCACTGAGGTGGCAAACACTTAAAGACTTTGTTTACTGGCTGCTGAGACAGTACAATGAAGCCCAAAGACACAACACAACATTCATCTTAACAGTCACACCCTGCAATGGTAAATATGTCCCTAAAGCAAGGGGAGCTGGAGGAGGGGTGTAAGAGAATAATCTCCTGAAGCAGAGTTGTCTTTAATATTGATTACACCCCACACACACACACACCCTGGCATGCAATCTTGCCCTCAACCACAATTTAGTGGTGGAACTAAACTAGAAAGGGCCCTGGGGTGCAAGGCTTCTTTTGGGCCCCACTTTTGCAAGGGTGGCCAAATGTTAGTTTCCCATCTGTCATACAACTCCAACAATGCTTTGACAGCTGGGGCTCTACTAATATCCCATGCTTGCAGGGTTGTATTTTGGAATGAGCAGTGTTTGCATGTTTGAATGTAAGCATGTTTTTGTATGTAGTATTTTTTTTGTGAATGTAGGGGTGTTTTCATATGTGGTGTTGGTGTTTGAATGCAAACATGCATTTATGTGTATGCAGGGGTGTGTTTATATATAATTTTGGTGTGTTTAACACAGATATGTGTTTGTATGTAGTGTTAACATTTCAATTCAGGAGCGTGTTTGTATGTAGTGTTGGTATTTTAATGCTGAGATGTATGCACATTTACACATACACTGCCACACACACACACTGATACACATGCAGATACACAGACCCACAGGTACACACTGACACACAGATACACAACCTGACACACATGCAGATACACAGACACAAACAATGACACGTATGCATACAAACACACACGCAGATACACACACACACTGACTACATATGGATACACAGATACATATTGACACACATACAGACACAGATACATAAACTGACACACATGCAGATACACAGGCATACAGCCACAAACAGTGACATACATGCAGATACACAGACACACAGATACGCACTGACACATGCAGATACATACACTGACTACATATGGATACACAGAAACGCACAATAAGAACATAAAGATACACACATTGACACATGCAAATACACAGACAGATACAAACAGACACACACTGACTACATATATATACAAACAAGGAGAACATACAGACACACACATTGACATACTAACAGAAATACTAACACAACCTGACACTGACACATGCAGATAGATACACGGATACACACTGACCGCATATAGATACACACATACAAACAATGAGAGCATACAGATGCACACACTGACACACAAGCAGATACAAAGATACACACACTGACTACATATAGATACAAACAATGAGAACATACAGAAACACACATTGACATACATACAGAAATACATGCAGATACACAGATACAAACACTGACACATGAAGATACACAGATACACACAGGCAGATACACACACTGACTATATACAGTTACACACACAAATATAAACCGATATGCACACACGCTGACAGATACACAAAGTGACCACATACAGGTACACAGACACATACTGACACAGACACTGACAGACAGATACACACACAGACAGACATACTGACAGACATACTAACATAGACAAGCATACTGACACACAGACACACAGACCGACATACTGAAACACACATACAGACACTGACAGAGACATACTCACAGACACACAGACATGTTGACACACATACACACACACACTGACAGGCACACACACACGGAAAATTTACAATTTGATAGCCACCCTCCAGTTCCTTACCTTTTGCTGGAGGGTGGCTTATCTGAGGTCCATTGGGCTGGATGAGGTGGCTGGGAGTTAAGCTCTTGCTCTGGCCTGGCCCCCTTTCTCACTGCGTCGTCCTCCCTCCCACGCGGCTCATGTTTCTGTTTCCCAGCCGGCTGCCAAAAAGCAAGGGGCCCGGTCGCGCTGTTAAAGGGCCACAGTGCCCGACTGGGCCCCTGCGGACACAGACCCACTGGGTGGGCAGTGCCCACTGGATGGCACACCCTAAGTGTGCGGGCCCGCTGCCTGCAACAAATTATTTTGGGATCAGCGATCCTAAAATAAATTATTGCAGGGAGAGGGCAAATGGGGCAGCTGCCTTGGGTCCCCCAGCAGCAACAGGGCCCAGGGCAGCTGCCCTGTAAAAATAGCCCTGTCCAGAAGATTTAGTTGGAGGGAAGAAAGGGGTACAACTTTCCACCTCAGTCATGATGGTTTGGTTTTTTAAATCAAGCTTTACTGTTTAGGAAATATGAGAAAAACAATACATAAAGTAAAGTAGTGAATCTTATCAATTTAGCTTTTAAAATGTCAGGTTAGGATTTCATTTAAAATAAATTACAAAGAGAATACTTACCAAATTATTTGAAAGTATGACTTTCTGTTCCACCACGTCCAAATCCTATAGAGAACAACAAAGGAAAAAGTAAGCCATACTTATTATATATTTACTAATTGGTAACAAATCAGTACTAGTCGTTATTAAACTAAAATCCCAAACATTGTGAACCAAGATTTTGCTTTAGGAAATGACTAAACATGGCAGAAATGCACGGTCTGCAATATCTAGCAATAGAACTAGTTTGAGTTACTTTTGTTACTTTTGTTTGCTGATGGCAGTTGAACCAGATCTGCTAGCATCCAGTACTTAATTAAGCAATTATACTTTAATTTAGGTTGTGTATGATAGTATGTATTTCGTTCTGGTACTGTGAGCTCAAAGGAGATCAATGGTTTTTAATTACTCTAAACAGAATGGGCACTACTTTTTCTGGGATTAAGCTAAATTGCAATGTTATATTCCACTTTTCTGTATCTAAGTGCATTCGTAGGTGCCAAATCACCTATAGCACTCATTGTGAGCTAAGATAAAAGCCACAGTTTCTGAATAAAGAGGTGCAGATTTCTACATTTAAATTTTATTTTTCACACTTTGCAAATACATATTTGTTAAATATAGGGATATATAAAAACTCAATAAAATTCCTTTGCTGTTACAGTTCCTCTTTAAAAAAAAAAAAACAAGCTACAATATATATAATGGCAATGTGAATATATTATAAGTGGAAGGGATAAAGCAAATGTTCAGCTTTAGTTGACTTGATGATAAAATATTTACCTTTTGGTCCAAACAACGCTCCATAACAAGGCTGATTGCAGTATGGTTTCCCATCATGCTGCAAAAGTAATAGACTCAATTAATTCAAATTAATTTTTTAGTGGATTGACTTACTTAATTCTTCATTTCATACTTTTCTTTCATTTTAAAGAATTTAATTTCAAAGCTCCTGTTTATTAGGATTACCAGTAAATGCAAACTAGGCGAAGGCTATAAAAATTTAAATAAATAAAAGCTTTTCCCCAGATAAAACCATAATATTTCAAAAATGTTTAATTGATGTAACTAAGAAAGCATTGAATATATTAACATTTTGTCTAATCAATTTAATATAAGATACTGTATCCTACTAATGTCAAGCATAATACATTGTAAATTAGATCACTAATGCTTAGTTAATACTTTCCGTTTACATAAGAGGAACATATTTAAATGTATTGAATGTGTCTGAATATAGTTGCATTGCTCCGGGAACCTTTTATAGCAGACAGAGTGTCTGCCATTAGTTTATACTCATGTATACATTTCTGGTCATTGACCACGATCTGCATCCCAACTAGCTGTATTCTGTTTAGTAGAAAAAAAAAGTATCCAAACAGACTGCAGCTTTGAGCTCAAAAGCCATGGCTAGATTTTCTTGTTACAGTACAGTGATGGCGAACCTGGAGGCAGCCTGTCTTCCTGCGAGCAGGCTATGTGGAGCATTTCCGCTCGTTACCATGGCAACAATCCACACAGCATTGCGTGGGAGGACAGGAGAGCTGCTTTCCAGACACGTACTTTTCACCACCGGACCACCAGGGCTGGTTGTGTCGTCCCTCCCCCTCCTTCACCAAAGGTAAGAGAAGGGGGGGGGTATAAAGATTTTATGTATAGGTCAGGATACATATTTGCTACCTGCAGCACCCCTCCCCCCCCACAAAGCACTTGTCTCCCACACACAGCACCCCCCCCACACACACACACAACACTCCTCCCACGCACATCACTCCCGCATATGCACAGCACCAAACCCAACACACACCACCCCCACACACACACACACACCACCCACCGTACACACAAACACATACACTGCACCCTTCAGCAGTCAGTCTGTATATATATATTCAGCAGTCTGTGTGCACGTATTCAGCAGTCTGTGTGTATTCAGCGGACTGTGTGCATGTTTGTGTGTGTTTTCAGTGGACTGTGTGTATGTATTCAGCGGTCGGTGTGTGAATGTGTTCAGCATTCTGTGTGTATGTATTGTATGTATGTATGGCCTTTGATGGAGATACTGATAAATATAAGCTTAATTTTATCTATAATTTCTATCACTATCATTTGTATCATTGAACTCTCTGTTGATGTGTTCTTCTTTTAAAACAAAAGATGTTAATTAGTTCGGACAACTGTACGAGTTGTTTTTTCTAAACTTAAACCTCAGTATTCAGGTTTAATTGCAGTTTGGGCACTCAGACTCAAAAAGGTTCACCATCACTGCTATAGTAAAATAAAGAAGTAGCAATTTCAATATGAAACCTTAAGAACATATTTAACGCATTTTATAACAATTGTCTTACAGTAGTATGCAGATGTTTGTAAAATAAACCACAATATAACAGGCCCTAGAAATACTAAACAATACCGGGTACAATTCTCAACAGCAAATACAAACAAAGGCTATTACATTTTATATTGTAAGTAAGGGTTTCCAATAACAATGCATTTTTTTCACATGGTTGTATTTTGTGCCTTTTGTCAATTTCAGAGAGCATGGTTTCACAGACTTAGTTTTTTTCAGGGCAAACAGTACATGCTATAAAATCAAACTCTGAAGACACGGGGAGCACTTTTACCATTCATCAACTAGATATTTGGCTCCTGAATGAGACACTAAAAACCATCCTCCACTGGAAAGTCACATAATTGTCACAAGTGTCTCTTTTTTCAGCCTTTCTTAAAATATGCTGTGGGCAACAGGGGAGGCGATGCAGAAAAGAGCCTAAGAGACTATTCTGTGCACTTGGGGCTTTGTCAGTGAACACTGCGATAAAGCCTTGGTTCCCTCTCTAGGAGATTAAAGGTGATATCATTATAGTAAGTGGCATGAATGGAATTGTCTCTAGATTCACTAGAGGATTGTGGGTCACAGCCTAATAAAGCTATGCTTCTATTGATGAAATCAAATGGGAGGTTGCTGGACTGGCTAAAAGCACATTACTGGAAGAGAGAGTTGCTGGATGGTATTGCGCAGAACCCTTGTCAGCACAGACAGGGCTAATGTCTAACCCTTTTGCACTAGAGCTGGTGGCCCATGGATTTGATGTTCTTAAATGCTGGACTAACCTACTTGTTTGGTGAATTTAAGTGTCTGTTTGATAAAGTCCTACACTAACACTGCCATTCTGGGGAATCTTTTTCCTAGCTTGTTGCAAAATTGGAAGTGCTTCAAACTGGGGGTTTTTGCCTTCTTTTGCATCAACAGCAAAAAACAAATGTGAGGAAGGCTGAACTTGATGGACGCAAGTCTCTTTTCAGCATTGTAACTATGTAACACATGCTGGGGAACCTCAATAAAATTGGACTGCTTTTCACTCAAAGTAGTGTGCTGTACCATTGCTTGCTACTATACAATACTTTAATATTGCTGGATAAACTTGTTAAGTGATTTAATATTTTTAGATAAACGTCTAAAAAAAAAAAGGTTTTCAAAATATTAAAATAAAAACATCATAAAAAAAAATCAATAAATTATGTATAAAAATATTTTTCATTAACAATCATTTTAAAAGCTTACCCGCCAACATTAAATTGAGGTCTAAATGTGCTATTATCTAGCTGTGTGCTGGCAACTTTGTCATTTGAAGACACATTCAGGTCAGTCAATGTGTATATTATAGTTAAGCTTTTCTTGCTGTGAGCCAGCTGCTTGCTCTATAGTGGAAATGCATCTTGCTCTGTATTGGAAATCTGGGTCAGCTGATGCAAAGTTGGTTCAACACATTGTTAGTATTTGAGTATTCAGCTGACACCAGTAATGGCTTTCAAATGGTCTGCCTCAGGTCATCTCAAAGTGTGCTAAAACATATTGACATCAGGGCTGTAATAGTTGGAATGCAGTCCAACTATTACTGTCACCGTCTGTGATCTTTGCATAATGTGTCACAGGGAAAAGTGAGTATGGCATTGAGTTCTATAGAGGAAAATGTTTTTTTTCCCTTATAGCGGTCACTGGTGTCGGCTGGGGGAAATGACAAGCTTGACAGCGGAAGCCCCACCTTTTTGTTCCTACCTTGTCTCCCTATATCTTTTAAATTGAGTGAAATACCAATACAGTAAATTTTAGCTTTTCATAAAGATTTGCTTGTGATGAAATACTCTTTTTTTTAAATGGGAGTGACAGAGCTGCTTTAAATGTATATTTTAATACGAGTCAGCATTAAAAATGGGATCTCCTTCTAGCAAGTAATTAAAATTAATATGTTAATTTGGCTAGAGTTATGCATATTTATTAAGTGCATGTGACAAATTGCTAATGGAGATAAAAATCAAAAGAAAGGCATGCGTTGGAAATCTTCCTCTCATTCATGTGTGCCTTGGTCCGAAACAGTTGGGAAACAATGCAACATTATAGCTACACAAAAATCTTTTTTTTTTCACCCATGCATTTAAAATGTGATATTGGCATCTATGTAAATTATTCTGAAGCTGTCAGAACTATTTACAAATGAGATAAGGGATACCATATCATCTTTAAAACTTCATATAAAAGAATTCTACAATGGATCAGTAGTTAAAATGGAAGAAATAATTGTAATGGATATTATAAATGTGTTTTTTTTTTTTGTCACCTGTGAAATACATGTCAATTTTTCAAAGTTAGATTTTTAAAATTTTCCAGATATAGTATTTGACAAAGAATCTAAAAATGACAGCCTGCATTTCAAGTTACACTTTGCTTTCTGTGACAGAAATCTTACTAGCATAGTGAAGGGATAATAATTTAAAAAAAAAAAAAAATATATATATATATATATATATATGCATACAGGTATTACATGTGGCATTATTTAACATGCACAATTAGAAATAATTTTAGAGTCAAAATTACAGAATGCCATTTAAATATGTTTCACTGTACCTCAGCATGGCCTCCAGGAGTCAAAGTCTTGCTGCATTTCTCACATTTTAGACATGGTCTGTGCCAATCTTTACCAAGGGAGGACACTTTCTCAGCTATGATTAAAGAAAAGGAAAACAAAGACACTTTAACAATATTATTTCTTTTCAAACAGTACCATAAACTGACCTTTGATTAAATTAATTAGGTCTAACAGAATCACTACAAAAATCCATTACCTTGTTAAATGTACTTTTAATTAGAAAATTAAATATTCTACCAAACTATTGTTGCATAAAACATTATCACAAAAATACTGCCTAGGGAGCTTAGAAATTATTATACTTGGTTTACTTTGACATTGATGAAATGATTAATATTTATTTCACAATTTAACTGATGCCAACATTATAGTAGGCCTGATAAACAAAAAGGGCAGGTTTAAAAATGTATATATATACTACAGAAATTATTGATCGGTTTTGGATTTCTTTGAGCATCTGAAAGATTTCTCGCTGAAAAAGAATTGTCATATTATCCTGGAACACGGCAAACACAGGGTTATTGTAATTGTAACAAAATAAAATCTAGTTTGCTGTATTTTGTCTAGGCCCATTTCTGCTAGATATTTTTTTTTAACGTATTGCAGATTCTTTTTTAGCCTAGCTATAAGTATTATGACTAATCAGGATGGATTGTAAACTGTGAACAATATATTTTAAGTATAATTGGTGATGCAGGTTATACACTTGAATCTAATACTTGTTTTTGCAAGTTATATAATGTTGTAGGAATGAAAATCCGCAAACAGGAAGATTGCATTCTGTTATTGTTTATTAGGCGTGGTTATTTTTCAATGCACTGTTTGTGTTATCACCTCGTTGGGTCAGCTTTTCATTTTTTAAATATTACTTATAAAATGGATTCTGTCTCTGCATGGAACAAATATTATTATACATCACGATTTAGATACACTGGATAATGTTTAGATGCCATACATTAATAATTAAGAGAACCTGAGGGAATGGATGGATAATTTATACATGACAAAATTATAGCAACAGAAAGCAAAGAAACAAGATCCGTTACTAGCAGCTCCTGGTTTTTACAGACAACATTGTTTAAAAAGATTCTTCAGGTTCAAGGTGACCCCTAGTTTTGCATTGCATTGTACAGATAATTTATTCAAAAATATGCAAATTAATTAAACTAATAAAATAAGAGAAAAAAAAAAACTCCTCTAGAGTTCCTACATTTTCTGCTCATGCATGCTTAACAAACACTTTGCTGGATTTTCATGATTCGCCTGAGGTCTCTATTCAGACTAGAAAGTAGCTCAGCCAATCTCATTATATTCGGAGTGAGCTGATCATATCACATGTGTGTAGGTAGAGGGTAACTGTGTATGTGCATAAACCTGACCCTTGAAAAACCCCATCCTTTGCTTCCAATGAAAACACATCAGACTTGCTTTGGATTAAAATAGGCCACAGCTTTATTAAAATATAAATATATATAAATCTTTAAACTTCAACTTTATAACACAAAACACTATATAGCGTAAATATACTCCGTAAATAGTTACATCACTGAATACCACCTTGCCAACCAACCATAACTTAAGGGTAGTTGTCCTCTCCCCCCTCGTTCCAACCAGCACAAGGCCTTTTCTTGGGCCTACCATTGTGTAATGCTAGCCACTAGCTCTTTTTTTTTTTTTTTTTTAATTTGACAATTTTTATTGCGTTTAGGGTACAAAAGAAAAAAGATGGTGAGGGTTGGGTGAAAGTTGCATATACAGTAGCTTGGTTTACAATTTTGAACATACATGTGGAATCGCATTTGATTATATGAGTGTTTTTGCAATAAACATACATGTGGAATCGCAGTTGATTTTGCTCATGTATTTGTAATAAACTTGGTAGACAGAAAGGGAGGTAGTGGGGATAACTGTGGTGTCCAACCTGGTTAGTTTGCGCTATGCATTTTCGCTTGTAATGGTTTCAGATTCTTGCCTTTTTGCCGAGTCAGTCTTTTTTGTATGCATGCATGTTAAATGGCTCTAACTAGGCTCTGTATAATCAATATGTATTCTGCATTCCTTCAGTTATCAGTGTTCAGTTACTCAGTTATGTGGTCTGTATCAGTGTGTCACCTGGATGTTTATTATCAGTCCAGTTCGGGTTAGGTGTGGTCGGTGACTCTCGGTTAGATATCTGGTTGTGTGTGGGCATGTGAGTAGCTGTTGTCAGCGTCTGTGTTTTTCTACTTCCAACTCATCTATTTGTCCTTATTGGGCTTTTTCGAATGCTGTTTAATATGCGTCTAATTATTTTAGGCTACCTATTAATTGTTAGCGGTGTGTTGTGGTCGTTTTGTTTGTGTTTTCCTAGATTGTGTTCCGTACTGAGGCGATCCCCAAACACCATTGTTAGCCATTGGCTTTTAACCTTTCCTTGTAAGTTTTATCCTGCAATCCATGAACCAGTTTAGTAGCTCTTCTCTGGACTCTCTCTGAAGTATCAATGTCCTTCTGGAGATACGGTCTCCAGTACTGCGTACAATACCCCAAGTAAGGTCTCACCAGTGTTCTGTACAATGGCATGGGCACTTCCATCTTTCTACTGCCAATACCTCTCCCTATACAACCAAGCATTCTTCTAGTATTTCCTGCTGCTCTATTACATTATCTGCCTACCTTTAAGTCATCAGAAATAATCACCCCTAAATCCCTTTCCTGAGATGTTGAGGTTAGGACTCCATCAAATATTCTGTACTCTGCCCTTGGGTTTTTACATCCAAGATGCATTATCTTGCACTTATCCACATTAAATGTCAGTTGCCAAAACTCTGACCATTTTTTTCTAGTTTACCTAAATCATTTGCCATTTGGCTTATCCCTCCTGGAACATCAACCCTGTTACATATCTTAGTATCATCAGCAAAAAGACACACCTTACCATCAAGACCTTCTGCAATATCACTAATAAAAATATTAAAGAGAATGGGTCCAAGTACAGATCCCTGAGGTATTCCACTGGTGACAAGCCCATGCTTTGACTACAACCCTCTGTTGCCTGTCACTCACACTGCTTTACCCATTCAACAATATTGGAATCCAAACTTAAAGATTGCAGTTTATTGATAAGTCTTCTATGTGCAACAGCGTCAAAAGCCTTACTGAAATCTAGGTAAGCAATGTCTACTGCACCACCCTGATCTATTATTTTAGTTACCCAATAAAAAAAATCAATAAGATTAGTTTGGCATGATCTCCCTGAAGTAAACCCATGTCTCTGATATTGAAATCCATGTGATTGTAGATGTTCAACAAAGATGGCAACCTATTTATACTAGCTCACCCATCTAACCCAAACTATTGCACCCCCATCCCAAATTCACTTTACCACATTCCTTTGTCTACACTCCCCTCACACTTACATAACCCTGTTCCTGCCTAGGCCCTTGCTGGCTTCTCAGCATCTTAAATCTTCCCCAGCAAATAAAAGAAGATGGAAAAAGAGCAGCCTTTTTTTTTTGTAGCAATGTCTAGTTGTTGAAAAAGTGTGATTATAATGATGAAATAACGCACAGTGGAAATTTTTTTTTAACAAATCACTTCTGATGAACAAAAACTTTTTGTATTCTTAATTCTATAGTACCCTGTCACTAGTTATGCAATTTAATAAAACAATGTTTTTTTACCAGGGTCACTGCACTTTGCTAAACAAATCAGACTAATGAAGGGTGCAAAATAGACCAATGTACTGCAAACTATATTCATAGTATAAATTATGGGAAATACTGTTTGAGTATTGATATACAAATATACAAATATCAGTACTCAGATAAGGACTTTTTCCCACCATTTGATTCATAGATCAAGTGAGAAAAAGTAACCAATAGAGGAAAAAGAGGACGAGTAGTAAATGGTATGGCCCACAGAGCTTAGAGGTATCAGCTATACCTCACTGAGAGGCTTAACAAGGCCTAAATGATCATCTGATGTTTAATCTCAGAGGAAGCCAGACTGCCTTTTGGATTTGTTATGCCAATATCGGTGAGATCAGTCTGACATGCAAATGCTTTAGGTTCTCTCTGCAATGGCACAAGATGAGCTCAAACCAGCTTTAAACAAAATTACGACACAAACCTACTGAATGGCAAACTATTTCAGCTATTGTTTCAGTTAAAAAAAAAAGTAATTTAAAATTATTTTTATAGATCATATGTGAGAAAATCTATATGTCTGTCTTCCTTAGTATCAATGTGTGTGTGCATTGAAAATTAAAAAGTAGGATTTTTCATTTAGAAAAATGTTTTGGCAAGCAAAACATACCGGGAGAGAATCAATTAACGCTTACTTACTGTAATTACTCATAAAGGATTAAAGAGATAATTGTGATGCAGGCTAACCAACAACAAATCACACATGCTCTGTTATGCTGTATGACATTTGTGCAACTTTTATGCACAATAAAAAAAGTAAAACCGAGGAACATTTGTAGTCAAGCATTGCTTAGGATTCTCTACCGTCCTCCACATGCTGCTTCCAACACCGATGGAGGGAGGTGTGTGTTTAACAAGGTAAATTATGTTAATTTATGCTGCATGCCCGGAATGCCACAGTGCCTTGCATTAACATTGGACTTCATATAAACAAAAATAGCTTTACGAATTTCTACAGTATAACATAAGGAAAATCAACATGCTTGTGCTTATTCGCTAAAATAAGAAATGACAGAAATTGACCATTTTCGACCAAAATAGCTGTATCGGAAACACTCTCCAATTCACCTATTTCTCCAGCTCAGCTTTTGCTACCCAAAGTTTGTAATTCCCTTGTCACAACTTTGCAGTTCACATAACAATGGATGAATGCAACAGTATTTGCAATCTATAGCTCTATTCGCCTATGTGTTACATTGTTACTTTTTCAGGATGATTTTGTTTAATTTCTCAACTGATTGAGAGTCCTTGAACTACATTAATTGACCGTTTAGTATCCCACTGTCTCATTATATTTTAATACTGTTACTTAGGAGCTAAGAATGCATGAAATGCATGAATGTACTGTAAAACTCCACTAGAAATAAAGCAATAAGTAATTTGCCCAATAATAATTATAATGTAATAAATGTGTTCATAAATAAGTTTTAATACTCATTGCTTTCAATTTCTTGTGACATACTCTGTTACAAAAATAGTTGCAAATAGTTGTAATTTAAAGCAATCACTTTAAGTAACAACTATTTGCAACTATTATAGTTATTGTGGTAACATATGCCTTAGCAGTTTACCAATTGTCTTCCTATTAAATCAGGGGCCACTCTGGTACATTCTTGAGTTCTTAGTTTTTTTGTTTTGTTTTTCATAAAAAAAGATGGGGCTTCCTAATCCCCTACCTATGTGACATGCTGTTCTGCTCTTCATGTGACCATAGCCTGATTGCAAATGCTGCATGTTTATTACATAACTACTATATGTATTAGCTAACTTGTCACACTTGTTTGACTATGTGAAGTTACTCTATGCCTCAATAGAAAATGTATGTAACAAAAAAACAAAAAAATTGCAAAAAACTGGAAGGTAAGCTAAATTATTTTTTTTTAACTTGCATGCTTTAAGCAAATTTTTTATTGTCATTATAGATGACATATTTTCTAATAAGAGTTTTTTTGTTTGTTTTTTTTTTAAAATGTAAATCCAGTGAGGTCTTTTTTTTATCCTATATATACAGGATTTCCTTATAATTTTCACAGTGACTATACATTTTTCCCATACAGCTGTTCTTGATCTGTGTTTGAAATCAGTTGTTGTGACCTAAGACCAGTCTTCTTTGCCTGATTTAAGGGAGTATATGCTGTGAGAAAATATGCACTGTCTCAGGGTGTCATAGCGTAGATTAGCCTAGTCTAGCCTAGATTCTAACTGTGCTAACATCATCACCATATGAATCTGTTAAATGAGAGTCATCTTAGGCCAAGTACTCACTACTTTTGACCAAAGATCAAGCAAAAGACAGCTCAGCGTGGACAAAGGTAAACAAATGCTGAAGAAAATTGTATCTTACAAAGTAGCATATTTCACGTAGTCTACACATTTTTTTGTGATAGTGCCTCTTAAATTCTTGGAATGTTTCACTTCCTTAGCTAGCCTGAAAGGCATCACACACATGCTTGACTCAGATATTTTTCTTTATTTAAAAGTTAATCTGAAGTTTAAATCAACTACTGTTCCATTATTGGTTGTGCTTGCATTTTTTTTTAACCATTAGTAGTCATTGTTAATACATACAAATGTTTGTTACTGTTTAGTTAATGCATTCCCAAGATACATAAATATCACCTGAAATGCATAGATATATTGGAACTCACTTTAGGGTCTTCCATAAAGCAGTAAAATATAACTTTTATATAGCATTGCAGTTATTAACCACATATTAAAGAAGTGTTGCCACAGATAACAGAAGCTATGCAGCAGTTATATAATGACTCACTGATTACCATATATGCTAACAGATAGAATGAGGGATACAATTGATAGATAGGTACCGCTACAACATTTTTAAAGCTCACAACAATAAGTCAATAGAATAACAACATCCCATACTTTTGGCACTTTGAGAGGAAAAACATTGTGAATCAACCTGAAGTAATAAGTAATAAAGGAGACTAAATCCTTAGCTTCATGTTGTCTATATTAGGAGTGGCTAAAATGTAGCTCTACAAAATCCGAGGATGTACAACTCCCATGATACCTAAGGCTAGACAGCATCAAAGGATTTGTGGTTCTGTAACAGCTGGGGATCTGATCCACCTATTGCGCACACTGCTCTATATAGAACACTGGCACTGTTTCTGTCCTTTGAACAGATGGTAGAAATTTTAACCAGTCAGTGATATTAAGTTCTACAATTTATGCAGGCCAAAAAATATACATACAAAATAGATACACCTGAATTTCCCTTTTTGCTTCACATCTGGAGCTTTCCAACCAGTCCTGCTTTTCTCGTGGTTGTTTATATGAGGCCTAAGTGGAGAATTTTTCCAATTCCATTATATTAAATTAAATCTACAATTTTGCTGTAAATATGAATTAGTGAATGATCTATATAAACTATTAAGTTACTGAATGGCATCATACTTTTTTTTGTTTTGTTTTTATAAACATAAACATATGAACTGCTGCCGAACAGGTGCTCGTTTCCCAAGTTTTGAGAGTTTGCACTAGAACATCAGGATTTGAGCAGGCACAAAGAAGCACAGCTTCTTTTGCAAGATCAGATAAAGATGGGCTTATTGCTTCAGATATTTTTTGAGAAAATCATGGTAATCCAGAATGAGCAGAGACTGGAACCCTGAACTGCTTAATAGCAGCTATGTTTCTTGAAACATTCCTTATATGTGTACCCTCATCAGGGTACACATATAAGGAATGGTTCAAAGACTCTCCCTTAGTCTTCAATCCTTTAAGAAGTGCCTTAAAACCCATCTCTTTAGGAAAGCTTATGGCCTCCCAGAGTAACCTCTACCTTACATACCTGTCTCTTGCTCTCTTCTATAGGGCAGTGCTTTACTCTCTCCTCCAGCTCTGCTTCGCTCCCACCCTATTTAATTGATATTTCCGGTCCTAACGTGTCTTATACCCCACCTCCTATAGACTGTAAACTTGTTTGAGCAGGGTCCTCTTCAACCTATTGTTCCTGTAATTTTTCTTGTAATTGTCCTATTTATAATTACATCTCCCCTCTCATAATATTGTAAAGTGCTACGGAATCTGTTGGCACTATATAAATGGCAATAATAATAATAATAGTAATGTAATGAAAATATTGTGCTGTTTAAAGAGGGACATGTTAGTAGTAGTAGGTACTAGTACTCCCTTGCCAATGGTGGTTTCATTGTTCTTTGGTCTTCTTAACAAATTTTCCAATGGGATATTAGTGTGAATTCAGTTTTTAGTCCAAGTTTGAACCAGTTATAGTGCATATGACTGTAGCTAATCATCTTACATTTGATTTGTTTGTTTTTTCTTTCAAAGTTTTCTTTTGAGACCTACCAAAGTACTAATGGCAAGTGATCAACCACTAGTCTACACCTATATCATCAACATGAGTGTGGGAAGGTATGTAGATCCACCTGAACGCAGAGTTGGGTAGATACTTACTCTTCCATCCTCTATGCCAAACGGGAGCTCTGATTAATGTCAGCTCAGTTTTTCAAACTAGCTGCAGTGAGTATAGATTCAACATCAGACACTTAGATATTGCTAGTAAATACCAATAGTATTTCATCAAACACACAGTATGATGTGTCCTGGGAAAAATAAGAAAAGTCTTTTATCTTTATACACGTAATAAAGAGGGTGGAGATATTAAACAGATAAACATTAAACTTGGAATTGTTAACAATCACAAATACACCCCTTCATACAAACAAACTATACATATGTTTGCCAGTGCTTTCAAGTGGCAACCATACATGCTTAAATTTAATCACACAAATACTACCCACAAATAAAACTCTGCAAGGATAGTCAAATTGTAGATTGACAATTGTGGGATGACACATGGGAATCTACCTTTTTGCCACGCACCAGGCCCCTCTCTACATTAGTTTCACCACTGCTTTTAACTCTTTGAATTCCAGGAGCTTATACTAGATGTTAAAAGCAATCCTGTACTCCTGGGCTTCATTTAACACACTCTATACACATGCCAGTATATTATGATGATTAGACACACGACTGTGTAACAGAGATTTCTTGGAATCATTTGAAGAAAGGCACAGTTACTGCCTCAAGCCTATGCTGCAAATGTTTTACATAAACATCCCAAATTAACAATCAGAGTTGCTCACTAAACCAAGAATTGTTGGAAAATGAATAATACATTTTAAGCCAAAACAGCAGATTTTTTTTTTAATTTTTTTAAGTATTACAACCCAGATATATCTGTCTTGAAATGTTATTCTGTTGCCAATTTTATGCAATGCCCGTTTTAGTGGATAACCAATATTTTTGTTGCCATGTGCTGTTAAAGCACGCATATTATATAGTTTTAAACTGTGAATTGTTATGAACTAAAGGCCGAATTTCCAAAAATGTGAAACTAGCCAACTTTTCTAAGTTTTAAGTTTAGTAAGCACTCAGCATGACTGACAGAAGACAATCTGCATTTTTTTTAGAGCTTTGTTTTTTAATCTTAAAAATGCCTTAATTAAGTTTCCTTGGGATCAATAAAAGGCCAGCTTTTTGCTGGTATAAAACTGTTTGATTGCTAAGAAGTTGCAAATAAGAAAACATTTTCCATTAAAAAAAATAATTAAAGGACCACTATAGTCACCCAAACCACTTCAGCTCAATGAAGTGGTCTGGGTGCCATGTCCATCTAGGGTTAACCCTGCAGTTGTAAACATAGCAGTTTCAGAGAAACTGCTATGTTTACATTAATCCAGCCTCTAGTGCCTGTCTCATTGACAGCCGCTAGAGGCGCTTCCACGATTCTCACTGTGAAGCGGACGTCCATAGGAAAGCATTGAGAAATGCTTTCCTATGAACTGATTTCCCCAGCGCCGAGGGAGCCTGGCGCTGGAGAAAGGTAAGTGATTAACCGCTTCCTCCCCCTTCAGCCCGGGGGGAGTGGGACCCTAAAGACCTTATAGTGCCAGGAAAACGAGTTTGTTTTCCTGGCACTATAGTGGTCCTTTAAGTAATCGATAGTCCACATTATGTGGTAACTCTGGATGTACTTTGGATGTCCCTTTGACTTCATCATGGACCTGAATTTGGAGTTGAACTACTAAGTTAAATCTTGATAAAACTGTGTGTTATGAGCAGCTTAACTTATTATAGTTTTGAATTTACTATTACAGGCAAATTTAGACCATGTGCTTTAGCTTCTGAGTTGGGTAGTCCCACATAACTTATGCTCATTTGCTGCCAAATGTATAGATTAAATAGGTTTTTCTCCCAAAGATATTGTTTCTCTCTTATCTGTCTTTCAATTGTTTGGCAGACACCCACACAAGGAGAGCAAAAGATAGGTCCCTCTGCTCTCCACCCACCGCTTGTTCTGTGGTTGCTTTGATGACTAACCTATGCTGCTAGCGCTGACTTGGGAGTATAGAAACGGTAAGACATTATAAAAATATCCCATTTTGAAAAAGTCACATTGGTGAAACATGTCATTGTTACTTTTTAGTCTATATTTTTATGGTTTATTTTAGCTTTAGGTGTAAAAAGATTTACTTATTTAAGACACCCTTGATCCTCTTGCTTTTAATGCATCGTATATGGACATCACTTTCCTTGGTGGGGAACATACCACCTAAGCCAGTGATGGCTAACCTTGACACCATAAATTGTTTCTGGACAACATTTCCCATGATACTCAGCTGAACATCATGGAAAATGTAGTCCATAAACTATTTATGGTGTCAGGGCTAGCCATCATTGACCTAAACTGTTTGGATTGAGCAAAACCCAAATTTTGCTCCACATTTGTAAGTGATTTTCCTTCTTTCTGCACTATGTGCACTTTATTTCTTATTTCTGTTTTATTTCATATCCTATATATGAAGAGGACTGACATGCACCAGCCCAATGGAGTAGGAATTACACCGCTCCACACTATATTTTAGGAGCCAACGCACAGGCTCCATACCACGTGAGTGCATTTTCATTTTGTATTTTATTATTTTTTTTATCCAGACATACTACACTAGATTAGTTTGTCTGTAGGTTTTATATTTCTATACAAATTCATGGACTGGTAACTGAGACCAAAGGAACCAAAAGAATCCAGAAGCGGGTGTTGTACCGCTCACACTCATAAGTGGTGCTTTAAAGATCTCCCACAATTTGTAAGTGTATTCCTTACTTATACTTTCATTTTACTAGGAATACTACATTTTATATTTCTCATTTTTTGAGCTGTTACATGTAGAGAAATACTGTATCCCTCCCCCCCCCCTTCTTGTACACAGGAGTGCACAAAATGCATATTCCCAGAACAACTACAGCTCCCATGAGTGGCAAGCATTATGAAAGTTTTAAATTCTTTTGAAGCTTGAAGTTTTAGTTTTAGCCACATTTATTACTTTATTAGTTTTAGTCACATTCAAGGAAAAAACTGAGAAAATTTGATTTTTCTTTTTTGCTTACCAAATCATAATTTGCTACTGATAAAACAAAAACAATACAGAAACACAACATAGCAATAGGTTTGTTCCTTAAGGGATGTCTACTAAACTGACAACTTAAATATGGGTAGACTTTACTTAGCTTTGAGTAATATATGAACTTAGTGTTTAAACTTTAACTTTACTTATTGCAACACTCCCAGTGTTCAGGATCAGCAAAACTTTCCTTAGCAGACCACGATAGATACTGGGCTACACCCTTCCTTAATTGCATATCTAGTTACTAAGTACTTTTATTTGACTTTCAAAACAAACAAAGCAATAAGAGAGACTTTAACTGCTAGACTTTGTCTATCATGTCACCATATAATGTAAAACACTGATTCCATAATTGTATTGCTATGTGTTAAAGTACACTCTAAAATGAATGGCCATGCCAGATTTAAAAGCATTCACACCTTCGACATAGCATACATGTTCATGCCTTTTTACTTTGTATTGTTTATTTATAAATTCTACCCTTCACTGGAAATACGCACATACATTGTAGTCTACTTTATCTATATACATGTTTATACATGAGAGACAGACAGACATAGAGAGGGGGAGTTTATCCTGCTATTTATGGCATCGTTGCAGAAGGTTCCTAAGTAGCAAAAATTTATTTTCAAGTCGTCAAATACATTCCATTCAGGCATTCAGACAGGTCTCTCAAGTTCCAGAAGCAATGCCCTCTTTGCTGCCACAAGGCCATTCCCTCAGTGCGCCAATGACAGTCATACATATAAGGCCTGGTGTGTGTGATTGGATGGATGAATGTAGTAGTTAGGGGTATGACTGTATTGTGAATATGACTAGGTGGTTAATGATTGGATAGCAATAAGTGCATGGTGGGTGGGGGTAGGTGAGATGTTATGTGGCTGTGTATTAATTGACAGGGTGAATAGGTATGATTGAGTGGATAGGGATCAGTTCAGAGTATATATTTGGGTGTCTGAATGGCAATGTGCATGTAAGAGCATATTTGTGTGGAATGTTAGTGAGTGCATGTAAATGACGGGTGTGTTACCTATAGTGTGTATTTACTTTTTATAAAGTGCCAGTGTGTGCTATTTGTGTGAAGTTTTAGTGTTCATGTATAAGTGTGTTTGTTATCTCAACACCATGATGCACAACTGAGAGTTGCATTGTGAATTATGACACAAAGTCAATATGGTGGTCATGTGGGGTCATTGAGACTTACAAGAGACAGAAGGAAACATTCAAGTGAACCCTATATGTGTGTCCTTTGGGATCAGGGTTGAGATATTCCAGATAAGCACTGTACCACCTGGATCCAATGATATTGTCCTATATCTCTGCTTGATCAGTGATGACAACTGCCAGAGATGCCCCTGTTCCTTCAGAAAATTTCATTTTTCTTTCACAGCTTGAAAAAAAAAAAAAAAACATTCTGGAACTAGAAAAGTCATGCCAGCCTCAATGTACACCATTAACCATCCACTTCCTATTCAGTAAGCAGTAAACTCCTTTTCATGATATTATTATTGCACACTATCACATACTATATGACTTGCATGCCATTCAATATGATTTAACTGTGCATTAGATTGCATTTTAAGTAGAATACATACACCACCAACCAGAGATATCTCTGCATATTTTGGTAATAATCTTATGTTATGTTATGAAAACACTTCAGCTATGAAACAAACAATGCATGACTCAATGCTTCCGTGACTATTGGAAGATACAGTATATAAAGTGCCATCACCCCATTTTTGGTAATAATAAGAAAAGCAGCTGCTGTGAGAAAAGGTTGACTGCTTGTACAATCTAGGAATAATATTACACATCTGAAAGGCCAGCTACAGCTTAACTGCTCAAGCAGGATAGCATTGCATACTATGGGGTACAACTGAGAATCTCATGAGGGCGGCAAGCTTATTTTTTTAAATTTTTGGAGATTAGAGAGGTCACAATATGTGTAAATGGTAATAGATATAATAGGTAAATGGTAGTAATAATACATCAAAACTAGTTGTGAGATAGTTATATCAGTTGTAAATAATTGAGCATTGTATAGTGTCCAGTTATTGCACCATCAGCCCATAAACATTATTGCACTGATTAATGTGATTTAATCACAAAGATAAACATCACTTGTTTACTTGTTTAAATAGCAGGTCTTGGTTAGTAGGACTTAATGAGAATGTTTTTTAATCTTGAAACCCTATGAAGCTCAAATTCCTCCTCCAAACAATAAGTGAACTTTAACATGTAACACAGTATCACAAACCCTAGGGCTCCTGCACTCCCTCCTGGGACTCCTGTACTGTGGTCTACTCCGAGTGGAAACTGCAAACCTCAAAAAGCTTGTCAAGTTTACTGAGCAGAACAAGATCAGGAGAGTGTGTGTTTGGTTTGGAGTCTCACATCATCCTTTAGTCTCAATCAACATTTAAAAAGATTCTCTAGGCACCATAACTTTATTGAAATAAAGTTATTATGGTGCAAGGATATCCCATGCACTGGCTAATCTTCAAGCATTGTTAATAAATGGTTTAAACCTAAAGTCTTCAATCCAGGGCTTGTCAGCTCTGCCCCTAAACTTTCATTTCATGCTGAGACTAATCAGAAATCCTCGTAAAGGGAGCTCCTAATAGGCTCAGAGCTCTGAGCCTATCATTAGCTCCCCATTCTCAAACCGGTGTGAAAAAAGATTACATACCTTTTTGATTCGGTTTTGTGAATAGAGAGCTAGGGTTAGGCTAATTGAAGCCTCAGACTAAAACCTTTCTGGAGCAGAGCCAGATTGACGAATTTGGGTTTGAAAAATTTCTTAAAGGTTAAACCGCAGGATGACTGGGACAGCTTGATGATGAAGTTGTTATAGTAAGCCAGACCTTCTAATGATGAAATTGTTATAGTGCCTGGAGTGTACCTTTAACACCATTACAGAAGATAAGGCCAGGCAACCTTAATTTAACCGAAGGGGGAGCTAAATCCATACAATGCATATAAGCCATCAAATTATTCTTAAAATAACAAATAATAATAACTAAGAAATTCTGTAGTTGTGCAGCGTAGTAGGCCGCAAGGCCTCCCTTAACCCAAATATAATATTTAGTATGACTGGCCTCTGTCATTAGCAGAGAGTACATATGAACAGGGTAATGAAAACTTTTATCTAAGAAAACCCCAAAAATATATATTTCTACAGTTGTATCTTCTAAAGTGTAGGGCCCAGCTCCCCACTACTAAAGGGCAATCTGGGTAACAAAGTTATGTATACCATTTCATATGTTTACTACATCAATACGTCAATAGAACAATTTTTTTGTTTGAAGGAAGAATTTTAGGATTAAATATTCTGGTTAATTTACTATTGTAGAACATTTTTAAAATGGGAAGTACTTTTAAGCCTTGTTCTCTTTTATACAAATGGTTTGTTTTGCATTCTAATGCAAAAATAAATAAAAATAAATCCTCATTTACCAGCCCCACCACACAGTCTTCGCCTATCAGAGAAACAAATTCCTCCTCCAAAGTCTCTCCCCAAGCCTGCACATGACATCATACCCTCCTACAAGGCTGCCTTGTACAATGCTGTATCTGAGAAGCAGTTGGGTGCGGTCTAGAGTTACGAGTCCCTAATTAAAATCATGATAGGGCAACCTTGTGTGTACTTGAATTTTCCAGAATTGGACTGCAATTTGAAGACCAGCCATGTTCCCACTTGAAAAGAGAAATGTGTCAATTATTATTATTTTTTTATCTTGGCATAAACAAATGCCCAAAATATATATAAAGCAAAAAGGAAAGAGATGCACTCTCAGGTCTTTGTAAAAAAAACTTGATATTATTTAATAACAGGTAACATACATCTGATCGACGTTTCGACCTCTTTAGGTCTTCCTCAAGATCTTGTTACCTGTTATTAAATAATATCGAGTTTTTTTACAAAGACCTGAGAGTGCATCTCTTTCCTTTTTGCTTTACATATCCAGCGTGGGATTGCACCAAGGCAGTCTTTTACTGATTCATTGAAAGGGTGAGTGCCACTATACTTGTGTGTGTGTGTGTGTGTATGTATATATATATATATATATATAGAGAGAGAGAGAGAGAGATTGATTTTCCTTTTGCATTATACGTGGAAGTATATGCGGACTCACATATGTGCATTCTTACCTCAAGTGGTTTAACACCATTCTTAAACAGTTTAACCCCCAACATTGCCTCTAACACTGGTCTCCACTATTCCTCTGGCAGCTTCTGGGTTCTAAATTTTGAGATTCAGGAAGTCCGAAGTGCCATCACGCAGGGGCCCTGCTGCTGACATTCTTAGCCAATCAGTGACTCCCCATTCCCAAAACTGGCTTGCAAAAGGTAAATTTCTTTACAAGCAAGTTTTGTGAATAGGGAGTCAGCTGACCACTCTCAACCAATCAGCAGCGCCCCTGCCCGGACATTTCAAAATCTCAAAATTCAGAAGCCGACAGGGGAGGAGTGGAAACCAGCGTTGGAGGCAATTTAGATTACGTTGTTTTGGTGCGTGGAGTGTTCCTTAAAGTGCTTGGGATACCCTATTGCCAGTGCAATAAACTTTCTAAGGACTTTCTAAAGAATTTTGGTGATTCATTCACAATTTAGACTATTAATAATTAACTGTATTTATCAATGTTTAAACATTACGTAAAAGGTTAGATACAGACACGGAAGATGATAATTTCTATGCATAAAAGTTAACTAGCATGTTGTAAAGCAATGTATTGCCAAAGCTCGGATGCAAATGAAATATCATGCTCATTGAATGTACAATTACTCTGTTTAGAAGCATTCAGTTGAAAAGGCTGGGTGTGGTTTGCTTAACTGCTGGAAATAAAAATACTGTATTTTTAATTTCTTCAGCCTAAAATAGTCTTGTAATTTTGTGCAGGAATTTGAATTTCTGATGTGTATCAGAGTATATGAATGCTCGGACATATTTTAGCAGGGTTTTTTGCTAAACATGGAAATTTAAGCAAATTAAATCCAAATGGTATATTTGAAGCTAAAATAGTGAATATGGAAAAATTATTCTCCTACTCAGCTTTAGTACTGAAAAATACAGTAATTTGCAGCTTTGCAATGAAATTTGTGGGGTGAGAAGAAAACTTAAACAGTAAAGGTAAAAAAATTGAAAGTCAGTAATTCATAAATAATTAAAGCAGTGATTAAACTGAAATAAATAAAGCTTGGGCCAATGTGTGTTTTACGCAGCTGATTAATCCGTTACTCTGTGATTGTGTGCAATTTATCATAGTTTAGTTTGTATTCTATAAATAGTGTAGATCTGGGATGCCCAAGTGCATTTCACAAGCTTAGCTACTGACATAGTATTATGGAAAATGCATTCCAACAGCTAAATAAGGTTATATTCTTCAGGGCATCATTAAATTATTAAAGATTGTGTATTTTTGTAAACCATATAGGGAAATTGGGCATATTAATACCCACCGGGTAATCAAATTAGTATTAGAGAACTGCAATTCTAACTCTTTTCTTAATAAATCCTGCTTTCGCCACATTTGGCAAATGGGCACAAGAGAAATAAAACGCCTATTGTCCTTAGAATGCTATAGTAGTGTCTTATTTCTATTGATTCATTGTCCAATGTTACATACAGGGCTATCTTGGTTTCTTTTGATTCCCAGTCTACCAGTTCATATGACAACTCGTGACTTTTTAAAATTTAAGCAATACAAATATTTGCCTCCTCTCCAACTGTTAAAATGTCTGTTCATTGTAATTTATTTTTGTCTATACGTTATAATCCAAGAATATGTTCACACACATTGTAAGCTCGTTTGGGTAGGCCACGCTTCACCATGTTTTGTTAGCATTAAGTATGTGTCTTGTTTATCTTTATATACAACATATTGTGGAATATGTTGGTGCTTTATAAATAATTGTACCTGACACAGGACATAGATGGAAATATTGAAGGTACTGACTGGGACAAAGTGAAGGCTACCAAAAGAAACAAATTTGTCATCACATGGTTTTAGTGTTCTAAGATTGCATTTACTTTCTGACTTCATATAGGATTGATGCCTACATGAGCTTTTGAAAAAACAAATTGACCCTCGGCCTTTAATTTTTTTTATATCCTTGATTAAAGAAAAGAGAAAATAAATGACTGAATCTGGTTTTGGTCACCCATACAATTGAGGCAGTTTATTGTTTCCAGGTTGAATCCCTGCTTCCTCTTCTGCAGGAAAGTTGGAAATAAACAATTTTAGGACAGTGGGCATACTACTGGAATTTAATCATACAAAACCATCTTTGCACAAATTGCAGATCATTGGAACTTGTACTGTAATAATCATACAGCAATGATAATTCACTCCAAGTTATTTGCGTAAGACACTCTTTCCCCATGTATTTACAACCACATACACTACTATTATAGGGCAACAAGACATCCTTGTAATAAAGAACAGATACGGAAAGTATATAAATATGCACGCAAAGTCACCCTGTAGGAATTATTCCCCCTTCCTCTAGCAGCCCACATATTGTTTGTTCTCTAGATTCTACACTGCTTGGAGTAGTGTCCTCAGTAGCCTCTTATTTCTTGTTAATATTTGTATTAGTTTATTTCCAAGTTGTTTTCTTCACACATTAAAATTGTGTAGCACTATATAAATGCCAAATAATAAGGATTTTAAAAGGAAAGTATCTTCGATAAGATGGCAGTATGTTTTTTTTTTTTAGGGTAAACTGAAGTTCCAAGTATACAATAGTCAAATGAATTTTATTTAAATAAGGATTTACACACAACTGAACAATGCAATGTGTTCACAGCTGTCGTTATAAACCTACCCATTAAACAAACATTGTATGCTAAAAATAGCGCTGCCCCGCTGAATAAAGGGATCTAATTTTCGGCATTTAAACACCCCTGTCTATTTTATAACATGAAATCAAGAGGCCTATTTGATGTCTTTCTTAATGAAAGGGAGCAAATAGCCATGTTAAAAGATTGTTGTCAGACACTGAACTTGATGCACACATGTCTCTTTTCAGCCTATGTAACTATGTACAACAATCATAGAATTACAGAATTTATATTTTGTTTTGTAATCTTACCTTTAGATTACCTTTTTAAGCCACTCACAGGATGACAGTGCCAGTAAATCATATGTTAGAATAAAGTTACGTTTGATTAATATTGTGCCACAATGTATTTATTGCCGTAAAAGTGTATGTAGCAACTTCCTGAGTTAACAGTTCAGTGGAATGTTTGCCTAACTTTGTAGGAGATCATATCTATACAATCCCAGGGTTTAAAATAATCTAATGTCAAGTGTTCTGTTGTATTAAAGTGGAAAAAATGTAAACTATGTTACTAAGAATCTTGTTTATCATTGTGATCTCACAGCCAGTATAGATATGGAGATATACACTTGTATAGATTTATTTATTTCATTGCAGGTTTGTATAATTTCCCCCAGTGTATAAAGCTACATATTTTAAGTGGAAAAACAGAGGACTGACAATTGCAAAGTGTAGACGGAATAGCTGGATTGGACAAATGTCAAACTAGCATCTTTTCAAACTAAATATTACAATAAAGCTGCCTGCAGTATCAAAACTAGTAATGACAACCTAAACAGAAATTAAAATTGTATCTGATACCAACATTGACATTCAATATTATAACTTATCAGACACATCATCTGTCATGAATTAGTTAAGTATATGTTAAAAAAAAATATATATGTACCTTCCAAGAAACAGTGTTTGTTTTTGGGAGGGTAATAGAAGTATTATGTAGTAGGTTTGTTTCTGCAGAATAGGTTTAGTGTCAGCCAATTACCTCTTTTGCATTCTAAAAATAAATAAATTATTAAACATTTTATATCTAATATTGATATTTAAATATCTAACTTGAACTTTGCTAAATGTACCACTGTATAACATTTAAAAAAACAAATGTATTTGTTGCATTGTATTTCTTTAAATAAAGCTAAAATATAAAAAAGTAAAATGCACTGTGAACTGAAAACCAATTGGCTGAGAAGTCTGTAATTTGGGCATCAGTTCACAGTTTAGTAAACAGCGAACTAAACAGTGAATGTTGTAATCACAACATATCAACCTGCAGCGAATTGCAAACCTGATTGCAGTTCAGCTATAGTCAAAGCTAGGCTAAATTAATTTACATTTTACAGTTCACAACTATTTAGTGGATAAACTGCTGTAGTGCGTATGATCTGATAGTGTGTTTTAATAATATTGCAGATAGATGTTAAACAAGATGTAATTTACTTACCAAAGTAAACTTCTTTCTGGCACTTGGGACACTTGGGCATGGTTGGTTATTAAGTAGATGTGAGATACAATGTGACTACTAAAGCAAACTGTCTCATGCTTTCATTCAGTAAAAGGAGGGGCCAGGCTCACTGCTTGCTTTGGGAGGAGAGTAGGGAAGGTGCTTTGCACACGGGCTGAAGCAGAGTGAGAGGCGGATGCGGTGTAGAGATATAATTAACCATTTGAAGAAGCACAGAATTCATATCTGTAGAAGTATTTACGCACTTTTTTTTACAGAACTTTTTTTTGTGTGTTTTACTAATTGTCAAAGGACAGTGTCTAGATTTGACAAATAAAACTAGTGCATATGTCAAACTATTTGACATATATTAACCAGTCACTGAATTGTAGTGAATAGATTTGTACACAAATGCATTTCAACTGGTACAAATAATCAACTTTCTTTCAATCTACGCCTGAATTAATTGATCCATCTAGGATTTACCTGTGCAATCTTATTAAGTGAATTAGACTCCACAGGTGAATCTGGAATGGATCGATTTGTTTGGGCGTAAATTAAAAGGAATTTGATTAATTTGTACCAGCTAGACCACATTTATGCTCAAGTCCAGTAGTCATACCTCCCAACTCCGGTGTCCAGAGAATCGGGACCAGTTGCACGATATATCATTAGCTCTGTCACGGCAAGGGTGCATAATTTATTATTGCACTATGGAATATTGCTATTTAATATAACTTGTGCATTGCATCAATAATTGGACCCCTGGCTAGAGGACAAATGGCAGAGAGCAGTTGATCAAAAGGGGCTTCTGCAAGGGACATGAGGCGGGAGAGAGACACGGATGGGTGGGGGGACATGAGGGGAAGAGAGACACGGATGGGTGGGGACATGAGGGGGAGAGAGACACTGATGATGAGGGGAGAGAGACACGGATGGGTGGGGGGACATGAGGGGGGAGAGAGACACGGATGGTGGGGGACATGAGGGGGAGAGAGACACGGATGGGTGGGGGGACATGAGGAGAGAGACACGGATGGGTGGGGGACATGAGGGGGAGAGAGACACGGATGGGTGGGGGACATGAGAGGGAGAGAGACACGGATAGGAGGTAAGGGACATGTGAGCAATATATGAATGAAATGGGGGAAGGACATGGATGGAAGGGGAGAGACATGGAAGAGGAACAGAGAGATGGAATTTGGGGAGAGACATGGATGAAGGAAGGAACGAGATATGGATGAAGGGTAGAGCGAGATATGGATGGAAGGGGAACAGAGAGACGGAAAAGAGGGAGAGACATGGAATGGTAGGAAGAGACATGGAAGGGAGGCGGAAAGAAGCGAGGGAAGCGGAGAGTGCAGCAACACCTTACCCTGCCTGGAGATTGCAGAGGGACTAGGGGGCGAGCGGAGCATGTAGTGCTGCTACACCTAAGGTGTGACACCTTACCCTGGCTGAGACTGCAGAGGGACTGAGGGAGTGAGCGGACACTCTGGACAGTGGCATTACTACTGAGACAGTAAGTAACTTGAAGGGAAGCTTTTAGATAGATTAAATGTATGTCCCCAGATTACATATTGTATGAGAATGAAACACGTAATTTTAGTTTGTTTAGCTCTAGGATTCACCAACTTTCATACAGGTCACAGGCAGCACAGATAACCAGTTACATTATTCTACCTACTCATCAGGTTATTACTAAGAAACACAGTAGCAGCCAGCACAAAACCATCACACATTGACAGCACAAAATGGTCACACACATTCTCATCACACAGAGCCAACATAGTGTGAACACACAGTTTCCATCACATGTACACATCATTACACACAAACTATTCCTATCACACACAGACAACCCAATACATCACATACAGTCCCCATTACACTCAGACAGCCAAATATATCACACACAACTGTAACCATTTCACTCAGACAGCCCAATATGCAGTCCCCATTGCATCCAGACACCCCAGTACATCACGTGCAGTTCCCACTATACTCAGACAACATGAGTTCAACTGCCACAACCAAGGTATTTGTTAGTTATAAAAAAAAAATGATACCAGTAAAGACTCCAGCTTGTAATATTTTGCAAGGCCTGAGTACCCTGGGGCAGCTGTGTGATGTGGCCTTTAAGAATTTAGCCGTGGCAGGATGCAGAGTCTGAGAGAGCACTCTCGCGGCCAATGTAATGTCTTTGTTGCCACTGGAAATCTCATCTGGCATCTTTGCAAGAGGCTATTTGAAGTCCTGGGGCAAGTACTCTAAGTGCACTCTAAATACCAGGGTAAGTCCTGGGTGGTGGAGCAAGTTTCATGAGTGCAATCTCAGTGTTGGGGTAAGTCCTGGGTGCTGGGGTGGGTACTGGGACAAGTCTTGTGAGTGCAATCTCAGTGCTAGGGCAAGTCCTGGTTGCTGTAGCAAGTCCTGGGAGTGCAATCTGTGTCCTCGGGCAAGTTAATACATTCCCCCACTATATACAAAGCGTTATATCTCACACACTGCCCTGATATATACCCTTGCAGAGGGCAATTCAAATAACCTTGTGTACATACTGGGGCCATTATATTGCCCTGTGCATGGGGTATATCTCAGGGCAATGTGTGAGGTATCACCTTGTGTAAATACTGGTGATATATATTGCCCTATGAAGGTGTATATATCAGTCGTATCTATAAATAACAATACACTCAAAATGTACTTTTAAAATGCATGGTTACCCTTTTGTAAACAAGAATATAGTGTTATAAGATGGGGCTGGTATGACACAATGCTATGGGCCTGCTTTTATTTCCAGGGCTGGTTTTTATCCCCAGTCCGGCACTAATATGGAAAAAAAAAATCCAGTGCACTCCCTTATCCACTAAACAGCCACTTCAGTGTGGACATATTTGTTAAGTTAAAAAAACAAAAAACTAATCTATGGAAAAAAATAATGGGGGTTTTGTTACATTATATGATCATACATTGCATAAGCCTGTCACAACGTCAATGTACCCCATCTTTGGCAGGTCCTACTGTAACAGCATAATGTCTGCTTCATGAGCTACTTACTTGGGAAGGGGAATTCCATCTGGAGTTCTCTGCAGTACATGGCTAAATAGGGCCCTGTGACAGGGAGGGTGCAAAACCAATGAGTTGGCTATATATATATATATATATATATATATATATATATATATATATATATATATATATATATATATAATCAAATAGGGGCTGCACTCATCTGAACATGCATAAATAGGGTGCTGCTGGGAGCCAATTCCAATTTATACAATAATAAAGAGAAAATCCAGCGCACTCCCTTATCCAATAAACAGCAACTTCGGTGCTGACAGATTTTTTTTTTTTTTTTTAAAACACATAATCTGGGCAAAAAATTATGGGTTTAGTTTTGTTTTTTTTAAACACCTAATCTAGGCATAATTTTTTGCCTAGATTAAGTGTTTTTTAAAAAATTGAAGTTGCTGTTTAGTGGATAAGGGAGTCTTCTGGATTTTCTCTTTTTATTGTATAAATTGGGTCTCAGCAGCACCCTATTTATGCATGTTAAGGTGAGTGCAGCCAGCCCCCCTGGTTTCGGCACTAATATGGTGTGATGTCCCTGTGCTATGCTTGTAAAAAGGTGTGAAGTGCCTATGTTAGTCTTGCAATATGGTGACAAGCATTCCACTGGCACATCACCATCATCACCAAAGGGTAAATATATATTTATGATTTAAAGCTGATAACAGATTCATTAGAGCAGTGGTTCCCAAACCAGTCCTCGTGGCCCACCAACAGTCCAGGATTTATGTATTTCACTGTTTTATTCCAATGGAGATACTAACAAAACTATTAATTATGTCTAATTTTTATTACATTTAGATTGGGACAAGCACAGCCTTTTAATCAAATCTAAACACCACTTATACAACTTAAACCGGGAGGCAGGGGTTGTGATGTCTGCTATATTAGGACACATAAGTCATGTGATATATCCTTGGAATGGGGAAATGGTAAGACATTCATATAAGCAATTATTATTTCTGTGGCATGTACAGTAGAGGAGATAAAACCAAAGGTTTATATTTGGCTTGTTGTTTTCTGGAACACAAGGGAGTGGCTACTTATTGTGTCTATAAGTACGCATTTTCTCTGCCTCTGGGAAGGCTGGGAACTTGAGACGAATCTAAAGGGTAAATAACTAGAGTTGAGCGGACACCTGGATGTTTGGGTTCGGCGGGTTAAGCCGAACTTCGAAATAAAGTCCGGGTTCGGGATCAAACTTGACCCCGAACCCGAACACCATTGAAGTCAATGGGGACCCCAATGTTTGGGCACAAAAATGCCTCTAAAAAAGTTCTGGAAAGGGCTATAGGACTGCAAAAGGAAGTAAAATGGGGGTTAGAGTGCCCTGCAAACAAATGTGGATAGGGAAATCACTTAAAATAACATAAAAGAAATACAAATTAAAAATATAGCTAAAGCCATAAAATAGCACTAGATGGAATCTTTGATTTTAGCTTTGGAAAAACATAAATCAAAATCTAAAGCATGGCTGTCAGGAGGATCACCAGAATTATCCATTTGAGAGAGGGTTGGAGTGCAGGGTATTCTCTTTCATTGTTCAAACTGAGCTCAACTCCTGATGCATGGAGAAAAGGCCTTCACAAGCCTCTGCTATTGTTTACATAGTTTATACTAAGTGACCCATAGGTTAAGGAGGTGGTGACCATGGCGGTGTAGGTGGAAGCGGCGGTGGAGGAGGAGGAGGTAGCCAACACTATTTTTTTTTTTTATTGGGGTAGCCCCCAAAATATTGGGACATATAAAAAAAAGAAACATTTGCGGCCTGCGGTGCATTTCTTGCAGTCCAAAAATGCCATCAGGTTTTTAAAACTGTCTGTCTCCACCAGACGGAATGACAGCATTTCAAAGGCCATGAATTTTGAAATGCTGGCATTCAGGGCCAGGGATCGCAGATGGCTAAGGGGGTACTTCCTCTTTCTCTCCAGTGTTTGTGAGATGGACAGCTGAAAACTTCCATGGGACAGGGTGGAAATGGTTGGGGACAGTGGCGGACGTGGTGGCATTGCTGCCACATCCTCTGTTTGCAGGGTGGCAGGTGCCACTGTGACTCCAGAGGTGGAGGAAGAGGCCGAGACAGCAGCAGAAGAGGAAGCAGGAGGAGCCTGAGACCTTTCTTGGTTTTTGAGGTGCTTACTCCACTGCATCTACGTGCTTTGCATGTAGATGCCTGGTCATGCAGGTTGTGCTCAGGTGTAGCACATTTATGCCTCGCTTCAGGCTCTGATTGCACAGCGTGCAAACCACTAGTGTTTTGTCGTCAGCACATTGTCTGAAGAACTGCCAAGTCAGGGAATTCCTTGGAGCTGGCTTTGATGTGCTCTGTCCCTGGGTGCGATGGGCAGTAGCAGGCGTACTGTCTAGGGGACGGCCGCTCCGCTTTTGCACCCTGCTCTAGGAGGAGGAGGTAGATGTGGAGTAGGAGGTTGAGGAGGCGGTGACCGTGGCGGTCTAGGTGGAGGCAGAAGAGGTAGCCAACACTGTTTTTTATTTGTTTATTTTGTTGGGGTAACCCCCAAAATATTGGGACATATAAAAAAAGAAACATTTGCGGCCTGCAGTGCATTTCTTGCAGTCCAATAACACAGGTTTTTAAAACTGTCCGTCTACACTAGACGGAATGACAGCATTTCAAAGGCCAGAAATTTTTAAATGCTGGCATTCAGGGCCAGGGATCGCGGGTGGGTAGGGGGGTACTTCCTCTTTCTCTCCAGTGTTTGGGAGATGGACAGCTGAATGCTTCCATGGGACAGTGTGGAGATGCTGGACAATTGTGTACCTGGCCTATGCTGGTGCAGGAACCAACCCTCTGAGCCACTTGTGAATGACTGGCCTGATAACCGTGGAAATGACCCCTCTTCCTCCTGTGCCACATCCTCTTCCATCATCGCCCGCAGCGTTTTTTCAAGGAGACATAGAAGCGGGATAGTAAGGCTGAGAACGGCATCATCGGCACTGGCCATGTTGGTGGAGCACTCGAAACAGTGCAACATGGCACACAGGTCTCGCATGGAGGCCCACTCATTGGTGGTGAAGTGGTGCTATTCCGCAGAGCAACTGACCCGTTCGTGCTGCAGCTGAAACTCCACTATCGCCTGATGCTGCTCGCACAGTCTCTCCAGCATGTGCAAGGTGGAGTTCCACCTTGTGGGCATGTCGCATATGAGGTGGTGAGCGGGAAGGCCGAAGTTACACTGCAGCGCACACAGGCGAGCAGCAGCAGAGTGAGAACGCCGAAAGCGCGCACAGACGGCACGCACTTTCTGCACCACCAAATTCAGCACATGCGCCAGGCAAGGGATGTGCGTCAAACCGGCTAGGCCCAGAGCTGCTACGAGATTTCGCCCATTATCGCACACCACCAGGACGGGCTTGAGGCTCAGTTGCAACAACCACTCATCAGTCTGTTGTCCAATGCCCGTCCACAGCTCCTGCGTGGTGTGGGGTTTTTCCCCCAAACATATGAGTTTTAAAACAGCCTGCTGTCGTTTTCCCCTGGCTGAAGTTGGTGGTGAAGGTGTTACGCTGACCGGATGAGGAGTTGGTGGAGGAGGAAGCGGAGTAGGAGGAGGAGGCAACAGGAGGCAAAGCTGTGTACCCAAATAAAGATTGTCAAACTTTGTATCCTGGAACTGTGTCCCATCCGGTTACTGGGGAAATGGGTCTGACCTATTCTAATCAAAGAGGATAACCATCGGTTACCCAGGTCCCACTTCAATTGGTGGCAAGCGCGGGTATCCCATGTCCCTGCCAACAGACCCATGGACTACAGTGCTCTAAAGCGACTTACACTGCAGGACTTGTGTGGAGCCAGAGGAATAACACCTGGTGGACGTAACAAGGCCAAATTGACTGCTGCGCTCATGGAAGACGACCAGGCACGCAGTGAGGCAACGAACCGCAGCCAGGGGCCGGAGATGAGGAGGAAGTGAGCAAGGAGGTGGTCCGGCACCTGGCATATTACCGAGAACTACCCTCAGGGGAGATAGTCAGCAGGACCTTCTTGGAGGTGCAAGCTTATGTCCTTGCCAATAGACAGAGGGCGACCTCCATGAATCCAGATGAAGAAGGGAGCAGAGGGCGCCGGGAAGCACAACCACCCTGGCCCACAAGCTACCATACAATGCCTTCAAAGAGTTCAAGGAAGCAGAAGAAGGCATCGATTACTTTTTAGAAGACTTTGAGAGCCAGTGCCTACTCCAAGACGTGGACCCCAACTACTGGGTCACCATCCTCGTCAGCAAACTAGTGGGGAAGGCAGCGGATATTTACCGGGCTGTACCAGAAGAGTAGATCAGAGATTATCCCTTTATTACACAAATCCTCCTGGCCCGGGATGCAGTCACCCCCGAGCAATACCTCCGAAAGTTTAGGGAGACCCATAAAGGGGAGAAGGACTCCCGTGCGGAGAGGGCATGCTGCATCACAAGGGCCACCCAGAACTGGCTCAACTCCCATCAAGCCAAGTTCCCGGAGGAGATCACCCAGCTCGTCATGCTAGACCACTTTTTCAATGGGCTTCCCAACGACACGGCTGGTGAGAGATCGCCAGCCCCAGACCCAAGAAGTATAGCTGAAGCTAGCTCACGATATCCCCTTGGCAGGGCATTTGGGCAGGAGCAGGACAGCGTCTCGGCTCACCCACAGCTTCTTCTGGCCAGGCATCTCTCAGGATCTGAGGCAGTACTGCCAGATGTCTGCCAGAGAGTGGGGAAGAGAAGGGACCGGCACAGGGCCCCACTCCATCCCCTACCTATTAGTGAAGATCCGTTAGGCAGAGTACCTGTGGACATTATAGTTGCACAGGCACTTTGGTGACTCTAGAGAACCTCAGGCCAATTGCACGTCCCCGTGACGGCGACGCATTCGGATGTCTGCCCTTTCAACTTTCGATGGACTTTCTGCGCCTACCATGGTGACCACGGGTAATGGGGAATCAGGGTTCGATTCCAGAGAGGGAGCCTGAGAAACAGCTATCACATCCAAGGAAGGCAGTAGGCGTGCAAATTACCCACTCCCAACGCGGGGAGGTAGTGATGACAAATAACAATACAGGACTCTTTAGAGGCCCTGTAATTGTAATGAGTCCACTTGAAATCCTTTAACTAGGATCAATTGGAGGGCAAGTCTGGTGCAGAGCGACTGACCCGTGCGTGCTGCATGTGCAAGGTGGAGTTCCACCTTGTGGGCATGTCGCATGAGGCAGTGAGCGGGAAGGCCAAAGTTACGCTGCAGCGAAGATAGGTGAGCAGCAGCAGGGTGAGAAAGCGTGCACAGCTGCTACAGTGAATGTCACATCCTGTTCCAAGATGCGGCTCAGTCTGGTGATGGCTTCTGGTATCCAGTACTCTTTTTACTGAAGCTGCATCAGGGTCCTGGTATGTGGCCGCACAAATGCTGGTGCTCAACACCAGGGGGCGTGCGGTTACCCTGCACCAGACTTTGCTAATCCATTCCACACTGTGACTTTTAACTTCAACATCAGGCATTCTGGCTTCCGGTCATCGACCGCCGGACTGCTGCCCTCAATGTGAAACTTCGAATGGCTTGTTAAATCTGGTACGAACCCGAACTTTCCAGTTCGGGTTCGCTCAACTCTGTTATGGATCCTTTCATTGATCCATCTGTTACTTGGATAACTGTGGTAATTCTCGAGCTAATACATGCTAATAAATTGTCTTGGTGGTGGCAGCGTTAAAATAGTAATAGTTTTATTATTATGTTTAAGTGTGGGTGGCGTTAAAAGGGGGATTTTGTAATTATTTCTGATCTAGTGCAGACAGTGAACTTTAACCCTGTCACCACCTGTCACCACCACAACTACGTCACACACAGTCTTGGAGTAGGGTGCGTTCGTGACAAGCTCTGCCACACTGTTTCAGTGCTCCCCGCAGGGTCATAATGCATGAGCACATCTAATGATGCGCGAGCGCTATGACAGTAACCTGGTTTCCCCAAATGCAAGACACAAGTTAACCAAGGCAGGATGTCGGGTCAAGACCCGAAATTCAGGTCAGTCCTGCTGAAATCGGCATGGTTTAGAGGCATGAATTGCAAAACTTAGGATAGAATAGCCAAATAACGATTATAACTGAGTTTATAGAATTTAGTTCTTTTAAATCTTGTAGGCAAAATTTCAAGATTCAATGTTTAATGAATATTATTTATATATTTATTTATGGGTGTGGTATTAATGATATTAACATGTTCGTGCAGTGGCACAATAATGTTATTCCGAGATATTCCTGGCAGCCCCTCCAAAATCCCACACAAATAATTAAATGCTAATACCGAAAAATGTGCAGCTGAAATACATGTAAAATGTCCGTTCAAAAATGTAAAACAAAACAATCTGCTGCAATTTATCCTATACACATAAATTAACTGTTTGAGTACTTGTAAAAACATGTACAAGGATGATTTATAAAACGTGGGGAAACAGTTTTCATATTATGATTTTGCTGTGTTTTTTCTCTTTGTACTCAATTTTTTTTTTGGTCTGTGCATCATATTTTCTGTTTTCTTCCTTCCTGACAGTTTTGTCCATTGCCTCTATTTTTGTAGCTTTAAACGTATAAAAAAAAAATAATAGGTACAAGGGTGTGCCTATTTATTTTTTTCCAACAAAAGTTTCTAACACAGTCAGAGACAGATTTTCTGAAATAGTTCCTTAAGGAATAAAAAATTCTTCAAATTGTGAATGCGTCTTTTTTTTCCCTATTACTATTACACATTTGTCTCTGTGATTGTAAACAATGGTAACATGAGAAAAAAATAGAGCAAAAAAAAAAAAAAAAGAGGAATAAAAAGGTGACGTAAACTTAAAAAGTGAAAAAAAAAAAAACTTGATGGTTTATCACTGTTACTGTAAAACAAATTAAATTAAATACTTTAGTCATTATTATATTTAGCGAGAGGACCTTTCCTAACACCCGGCCAATAAGTTGACCACAGTGGCATAGCTTCTAAAAGGTGAAGCAGCCAGTGACTCGTAACCCTGTAATCTCTCCATTGCAATTAAATAAATAAGCCTCAAGATTAAAACACTCTAAAACCTTGGATTTCCATCACAAAAGTCTTATTTTTAGCTGCTTCTGTTTACTAACGCTTTGTGGTTAGTGGCCTAACTAATGTAAAGAGCATTGGGCCCCACCCCTTTTCAAGAGTGGCCAAATGGTAGATCTCCTCTGCCATATAACTCCCACAGTACTTTGCCAGCTGGTGATCTACCACTTGCCCATCCTTGTATTTAGCACTGGGCAGTGTTTGTGTGTTTGAATATTTTTGCATGGAGTATGTGTGAGGGAATGTAGTGGTGTGTTTGTATGTAGAATCATATTTGAATGATTATACAAATACATACAAATGTGTGTAGTGTTGGTGTTTGAATGGTGTTTTCAAGATGTATGCACATACACTGCCAAATAGATATACAAATATGTGTAGTGTTGGTGTTTGAATGGTGTTTTGAAGATGTATACACATACACTGCCACACACACACTGATACACACACAGACACACAGATGCACACACTGATACACATGCAGATAATCAGACACCTAGATACAAACAATGACACACATACAGACACAGAAACACTAGCACACAGACAAAAACACTGACACACATGTTAATATGCAGACACACACATACAAACACTGGCACATGTGCAGATACACAGAAACACACACTGACACACATGCAGATACATAGACACACAAAAGCACACAATAACACACATGGAAACACACTGACACATGACACAGATACACAGGCACAAAGAAACACACAACACAGATACAAAGACACACACAGTGACACAAATACAGATACACACTGCCATACACATGTAAAATGTTTTAGCCACCCTTCAGTTTCCTACCTTTTGGGTGTTGACTGAGGCTATTAGGGGTCAGGGGCTGGCACTTGCAGTTTGCACCTACCTCCTCTTTGCCTTCTTCTCTCTTGTTATCTGTGTTGACAACAAGAAAGGGGCCCAGTGGAGCTGTTAAGGGGCCACAATGCAAGACCGGGCCCCTGATAGCACATGCCCATTGGGTGGTCCTAAGTAGTTCTGTCACTGTGGAATACCCAACACCGAGGCTCCAAGGGAATATCTGATATTCATTATTTTTAGTAGGGATGTGCATGGGCAAAAAATTTGGTTTGGTTCAGAAATTCGGTTAAGCAAAAAAATTTGTTTGCTTCGGCAATTCGGACCAAAGGCATTCGGTTCAGCACTTCAGCAATTTTGAACTTCGGTAATTTGGACCCTAAACCCTAAACCATTTCGGTTAGAAACTTAAGAAATTCGGCAATTCGGACATTCGTAAGCATCCGAATATCCGAAATTAACGAAATCCGTCCGAATATACATTCGGAACGAAACAAAAAGCACATATAGTTTTAAGTCATATCCTGGCATTATAAACTAAATCTACCCTTCCTTCATTCGACCTTTAAAGGGTGTTATTTATTTGGAACCAACTGTTTTATTGCTATTAATAATGTTATTGTGATTAATGTGAAACATTATTTCCGCTAATATATCTAATATTAGAACTTGATATTGCTCAATCTATATTTTGTATTGATTCTTAAGAATCAATGGTCAGCATTGTTTCTTAACAAATGTCTTTAAAAAAATACTGGATAAGTGCAGCCTCATTCAATGTCTGTGTCCTATCTGAATTTTCTTCTAGCTTTTTAAATACATTATATGCTGGATATACTTTGTATATGTACTATTATTTACATCTATTTTGAGCCCTGTAGGTTTCCTTACTTTGAACCAAGGACTTATTCATGTCTGCATCAATATGGGACCGTTATTGTGTATTAACGAAGGTGGAATGCAAAATGTCCACCATTTGGAATGCATACGTCACCCGAAAGTACAAACTGGAAGTGAGATACCGGAAGTGACATCACATGGATCTGATACCTGCAAAAACTAACTGAGGAATCCCTTGAAACAGCTGGACATTGAGGACAACGCCCTCTGGACCACCAATAGGAAGAAAAGCCTGCCACATATAAAGAAGGACTGGGGAGGGAAGGGTTATGCTGCTATTTGGTCCTTTTGTTAGGATATTTTTTATTTGTTTTTACTATTGTGTCCCTGAAGTCTTTGTTAGACGAAACATGTTGGACCATATTTGTTTTTTTACTTTTTATACTAAATAAAGCAGATTTCTTAACCATTTCCTGAGTCCGGACTTCCATATTGTTGTGATACCATCAACCAGCGGAGAGGGAGTTCTGGAAATACCCCCATATATCCAAGGGGAGGCACCCTAAGGCGATTTTACTTTCTACATCTTGTGAGTTCCACTTATATTTTTGCAGTTCTTATGTTTATTTACAACATTTCCATGGAAACTGGAAAACCTTTTCAGGAGATACAAGACAATTTCCCAGGGTGTTTAGAAGGGGCTGTGATGAAGTGTGTGTGTGTGTGTGTAGAGGAGTCTGTTTATGGTGTACAATGTGTAGCTAGGGGCTATAGTGTGTGCACATGCTATAGGAGCTTTTGTGATTGTGTGTGTGCTGTAGTGTTTGCATTGGAGAAGCCTGGTTGCTCACCTACTGCCTTTGCACTATGGCCCCATGTTAAAAGACACCCTTTTCCCTGCAGAAGAGACTTATTCGTGCTTTTCTGCCTGGTGTTCGGTAGATTCAATCTACCGAACAACCGCACGAATGACTACACCACCTGGGAGCTGGAGTGTGCCGGCAATTAGCCTCCCTGAAGCTGCAGTTAACCGCAGCTTAATTGACGAATGCTGGGTGGCCGCCATTCGTATCACGAACACGAGGTCGCAGTCATTTTAAACCCGCGAACGCATAGCGGTGTTCGACGCTCAATTCATGGAACTAAAATCGGACAGTTTTGCGCGAGCACCGCTGAAGCCGCCGACCTCCCTTCTTGTTCGGTGAAAGTGCACGAACGGCCCGGTGTTCGGTAGTTTTACTTGAATATGGTATACCCCAGATAGGAATCCCATGGAGCCCATTCACATGAGAACTGACTGTGTAAAGACTTTGGCTCCATGGCGATTACACTGTATTCGTGTGGTCTGAGCGCCATTCGCTTAATAATGTGTGCTCAGACCTGAGCTAGCCGGGGATATGTTAAATGTATAGTTTTAATGTAACATGTCCTACATGGTGTATTTTAATAGTAATTCATGTTTTAGTATCCCCACTTACATAATGGAGATTTGCCTTTGTCTTGGGAGATAATTGAATTACTTCTCAATTATCTCCAAGGCAGAGGGGAGGAAGCCAGGATGCACTGTGGGAATATAATGTGACTGTGTGTCCTATTTGTCTACTTGTCTGTCTTTTGTCACAGTCTCCCATTTGGTCCCCTAGGGGAGTGTCCACCAGGTGGGAGACCTGCGTAAATACTGGGCAGGTAGCCCTCATTAAACAGACCACTGCTTGACCTTCAACACGGAGCCTTGTCTCGTCTTTGGGGGGATTTACTGAATGCTGATAGAGACTGATTGCTAGGAGTGTAAGCCGCTTGGATGCTTTTCCTATTCGTCTGCTAGCAGTGATTCGTATGGTTCCAGTTCGGGAGTTTGGAGCATTCCCTTATTGGCGGTTCGTGAGTTTGGTGTTCTACAGTAGCTATGCCTGCATCTCTGGAAAGGGGGACGATCGCCTAAACGGTTACCCCTTGTGTGCAAAACGGTCCGTTACACTCACAAATTATTATTTATGTATTATTTTTATTTTAAGTCCACCCAGATTAAGTCTGCAGCTGTGGGGCTTGTGTAATATTCATGCTCTTCCAGCACTGCTCCCTTGCGTACTGTTAAGTCATGCCAGGACCAAAGTGATTTCATAACCCAGCTCCCGGCATCACCAGAGGGTGTGAGGGAGCAGTATTTGGAAAAGCACAGACATCAGCATTCCCTTACCACCCGCATTCCCCACTCAGAATACAGCACATTTGGGCAGAGTAGCCACCTGCCATCCGAGTACTCAGGTGCACTGCATACTAAACTCTATCTTAAAGCACAGCTAGTCGCATCCTGAGGGGGCTCTAAGGTGGCCAGCCGGCCAGTTTTTGGCATACCCCTTGGGGTACACATAGCACAGGTTGAGAACCATGGCTGTAACTGACCCTAAGCAGTATATGCCTAGATCTACTTTGAAGAGGCTTCCCCTCCAAACACTAATAGTGTGGAAGGGCGAGGGGGCAAATATACTAACAAAAATTGTATCTGTAAAAAAAATGATTCTATACAGGTATAAAGTTACATTGCTTGAATAGAGAAATGCATCCATCAAGTTCAGTCTTTCTCACATCTGTTTTTGCTGTTGATCCAAAAGACGGCAGAACACCAATCTTAAAGCTTTTTCCAATTTGCAACAAACTAGGAAAAATTCCTTCTTGACCCCTGAATGGCAGCCAGATCTTTCCTTAGATGTGCTAGAGCACATATTAAAAATTATTTCTCTGAATATTATGTTTTCATCCAGTTGTTGTTTAAAGGAAAACATGCCCCTGCAGCCTCACTGCTCAATCCTCTGCCATTTAGGAGTTAAATCCCTTTGTTTATGAACCTTAGTCACACCTCCCTGCATGTGACTTGCACAGCCTTCTATAAACACTTCCTGTAAAGAGAGCCCTATTTAGGCTATCTTTATTGCAAGTTATGTTTAATTAAGATTTTCTTATCCCCTGCTATGTTAATAGCTTGCTAGACCCTGCAAGAGCCTCCTGTATGTGATTAAAGTTCAATTTAGAGATTGAGATACAATTATTTAAGGTAAATTACATCTGTTTGAAAGTGAAACCAGTTTTTTTTTCATACAGGCTCTGTCAATCATAGCCATGGGAGGTGTGGCTAGGGCTGCATAAACAGAAACAAAGTGATTTAACTCCTAAATAACAGTGAATTGAGCAGTGAAATTGCAGGGGAATGATCTATATACTAAAACTGCTTTATTTAGCTAAAGTAATTTAGGTGACAATAGTGTTCCTTCAAAGGATTGGCCAGGAGAATTGTCTAGGAGCACAAATAGCACCTATCAATCAGTTTACAAAAAACTAGGAATAAATGATTATCATTTCTGCAGATTATTAGAGCCAATATTCAGCTTTTTACCGCTAATCTACCTCACGTCACCCCTTTTATGTGGAGCTCAACTTAAGGCAGGGAGGTGAGACATTGAATAATCTACTGTAATGGCTGTCTGACAGGAGTATAATTGTTGTCAGCAATCACAATACTTTAAGTTACAGCACTGTACATGATGGGATGTCACTGATCCCAGCATGTACTGGCTGCCTGAATGCATTGGAATGCAGTGGCGTACTTGTTTGTAGTGTTCGCTTTTAAATGCAGGTGTGCTTTTATGTGTAGTGTTTGTGTTTGTATATACTTTTAGCATTTTATTACAGGGGTGTGTTTGTATGTAATTTGCGTGCAGGACATTGTGTTGACTTTTAAATGTGGATGTACATAAATACATGCTTACACTAATATACATACATATTTATTTATTTATAAAATATTTTACCAGGAAAGATACATTGAAATTTCTCTCATTTTCAAGTATGTCCTGGGTTGTCATATAATGCATTCATGCACACACTGACACATACAACCACCTGATACACAATATACAGACACTGACATATGCATACACACTGACGCGGACACGACACACAGATACACACTGGCATGGATAAAAACACCTTGACACACAGATACACACACACACACACACACACAGACATTTACATACACACTGGCACAGGGATACACTCACATACTGTCACGACTACTAATGTGATCCAACACGCAAAACTATGTTACATCTACATAGAATAGAAAAATAGACAGAAGGTAAACCGGTCCTTAGAATGGCAGGATCAATATGTTGAAAGAAAGAGAATGGTCAAGGAAAAGCTAAGGTCAAGGAAGCCAGAAATACACAAGATTGATAAGAAAGCCATGTCAGGTAAACCAGAGATCAGAATAGTCAAGAATAGCCAAAGTCAGAATACCAGGAATATCGATAACAAGGACAAGAAAATGCACTCTTGGGAAACCACAACAGGGCAATAAACTAGGGAAATTCAGGGGTTTAAATATCCCTCCTTGGGCTGCTATTGGTCTGACCCCAGAACATGCATGTGCGTCGACGTCGTGCCCTCGAAGGCACGTTAGAGAATAGATTGTTCGGATCTGATACTAGTCCTCCCTTGATTTCTATCCTCCCTTGTTAACCCGTGATTTGTTGTTCTTGACAGGTTTTACCTAATTATTTTTAGGTTTCCCTTTCCCTTCCCTCCCTATTTATTGTTTCTAGCAACATTTACGATTGTACTTCTGTACCCACATAAGTTAGCACTGATTAGGACTATTATCATCACTATATATTTGTTGGGATTTTAGATTAATCTATTAAAAGTTACATTTTATCATTATCCTCCCATGGGTTGCTCCCCTCACTCCAAGAGGTAGACATGTGAGGGTTACACTGTCGATACCTCTGGGTCCCTCCTTGGGCTTCTAGTCCACCTTTTTCATTAATCATACACTGGCATATACACACTTGAACAAACACATTCAGATACATACACTGACACATAGAATCACTCTCTAGCACATTCACACACACTGGCACACATATACTAACATATGCACACAGATACACAAATTATAATTTTTATATTTGCAGCCACCCTCCTGTTAGCATACATATTGTCTGCCGGAGGATGACATGCTTGGGGTTCTGTTGGCTGAGGCTGATGTGTGAGGGTCTGCAGCAACTCTCTCCTCATGATGCTTATGTCTCTTTCCCTCCCGTACAGCACTCTCTCTGGGAGGATGCAATCAGCTGTTTTTCAATACCAATTGGGTGGCCCCGGGCATGGGCCTGCTGCTGCTCTGAAGCATTGCCACCACATGTGATAAAAGGTACGACTGGCACCGCAATTTCTCCAACATAAATAAAGTGGGAAAACATCAAGTTGTGCAGGTGTGTTTACAGTGTAGGGAGCTATCTCTTAGCTCTAGATGTAGCATCTGAGCAGTACAATCACGCCTATGGATATAATGATGAAATCGTGGTCCGACTGAATGATGTATGCATTTGTAACAAACACAAGAGCAAAAAAATAGTGCAATATGTCAGGAAATCAAAACTTAATAGTATATAAAAATGCACACTCACATTTGTTAGAGCCCTCTAATGGTTTCTTGCATATGGCCTGGAGTGGAATAATACCCAATCTTAGGATATAGGTGCAGACTTGTTTTTTTCTATGGGTAGGTAAAATCCTCGCCGTAGATATAAACAAATAAAATATAGTGCACACCGCGTGGTTTTAAGAGCATGTTAAAATAGGAGATGTACTCACTTAAAAAAATTAAATAAAAATAGAATCTTTTTGGTGGTTTCCCAGATGTCCTGGCAATCACAGACCTTTGTTGACTTGCCTATTCCACTCACCTAATTGTAATCTAGGGTGAGAAAAAAAGTGTGTGTGTGTGTGTGTGAGAGAGAGAGAGGAGGATAAAGAGAGAGAGAGAGGAGGATAAAGAGAGAGAGAGAGGAGGATAAAGAGAGAGAGAGAGATATAGTGTGTGTGTGTGTTTTTCTGTAATTATGTGGACATTAATAAGTAGATGATGAAAACCACTTACTCCCCCTACTGATATGATGTTACTTGGATGCTGCTAAATTTAACACTAACTGGAGTTAGGGAGTTAATCAAGTGAGGGAAAAGTCTCCTGGAATCATGTGAACTCCCTACATTTAATACTTATATTTTTCCATTGCACAGCCAAGGGATAGAGAGACCATGTAGACAACTGTGGCAGACAGCCTGCTGTTTCATTAACTCTCCCATGAGGATTTGAGGTATTCTTGTGTCTCTTTTGTCCAATTTGACATAATTTTGTGCATAACTGTGATTTCATCTGCAGAGATGCCCATCTGAAATTGTTAATTCCGAGTCAATGTGGTGTTTGATAAATATACAAATGCAATATGACTTTTAACATAATTCTACAACTTTTTTAATTTGCAGATTTTTTTTTACGATATTTTTCTCCAAATGTGCCTCCAAATTGAATTTAGAGTTCTTTGTTAGTAAATCAATTAACACACAGCTTCTCAAAAATATATATCTGAAGCCAGATTACATTAGTCATAAATTCACAAAACATATTCCTTGGGAAAAAATATACACACTAGTACATATCTCAGTGAATGTAAAACAAGAAGAATTTTAACCCAGATTTACTTACACCTTAGTTACGTGTACAAAAGTTGATTTTATTGACTTTTTTTATTGATTTATTATGTATAATTTCAGAATACAGCTGTAAAAATTGCCAAGGTTAAGATTTTTTTTAAAAAGCTCTTAACAAATTAGATCTGATGAAACACTCACTTTTAAGATTTATTTTTAAGGCTTTGTTGTCATTTTAATTTCTGTTCTTCTGAGTTTTTGATTTAGCCGTGATAAAGAACAGATAACAAATGGAAAAGTAATTAAAAATCTAATTTATAACCATCTCTCATACATATAGTTATTTATGCCATGGCATAGTTATTTATGTCATGATTGCACACATGTCCCTCTTTTTTTTATCAACACATATATATAATTCCACATATTCATTGTACAATTTGGCATCAAATTATTTTAACAGAAATGGTTCCACCCCCAATTTACAGACGTGATTTATGATAATGTACTGCTGTACCAGAATAAAATCAAAGTTACATTTGTATACTTGTGACTGGCAATTTGCAAATACATTAGCACACATGAATCATCAATTACCTTTGATTAACTTATGGTACAAATCAAGCGATTTCTATATTCAACTCACTGCAAGCAATTCAAGGTTAACACATAAAAATAGCTGAGAACAAAAATAAAAATAATTATATTCATGGAAATAGTTGAAAGGGCAAAACAAATGCAAACAGTTTTAGAGTGCATAAATACATTTTGCATACCTATTTAAATCTGAACAAATGAGACCAATATTTGTACCACTGTGAATAAAATGTAATTAAACGTGGCAGTTTGATTAAAATTGAAGAAATAACTATTAAGTAAAACTACACATAAAAAAACTAGAAAATAAACACATTTTCATAATTGGCAATAAAATTGAATAAGACGTATACCTGAGCTTGAGAGGTCACGGGACACTCAGATTTTTAATATATGTTTGTGCCTATGTAACTTTTATTTCCAAAAGGTCATTAATTGGTAGAGATGGGCAATTAATTAAAATAACATACCGCTCTATGCTCTTTCCAATACACTTTTTGAAGATTGCATTACATTTATCAATTGTATCATACACATTTTTTTTTCTGTTAAAACAATGTTTTATTTATGGGTAACTATTAATACTTTTAATAACAAAATACTCCAGACATGTTTATGAGAGACTGACGTGAATGAAGAATGTCTGCCCATCCCCTTATGTTACAACCAATATTATCATCAGTCCATAATATAAGAGCTAATTAAAAAGACCAGCAATCTTGTCATGTATCCACAATTTCTCTTGAAGGTGATTGCTCATGATGAGCAGCTTGTGTACTGTGAATTGTCTGGTTGTGTGGTATTGAATTATGTTGAAGTTCAAGAGCGATGGCATTTTGAGGAAATTCTTTCACTTGTTTTTTGTATTCCAAGAAAGTACAGGCCTTGGTGGCTATTGCAATGATATTCTTGCCAATAAAAATGGTTGAAACTCTACTATCTTGAAATAAAACCATATTTACAGCTCTGATAAAAATTGTTACAATATTAATTGTAACCAAACTCAGAACAGGATACAGCATCATCTTCTGTGGTGCAATGTGTTCTCCTTGCATACTGATTTCACTTAAAGAGACACAGGGAAGAATCAAAAGCAGGATGTAACAATAAAAAAACATCAGACCCTCAGCCCAGATGGGGAGTCCAGTCTTGTGTGGTTCCCATAAATTAGCTTGAATATCCAAAATATCAAGTAAATCAAGAGCCACCCAAAACAATCGACCTCTCAGATCTTCTTTTTTCCTAAAAGTTCTTACATATTCCATGCTATCGAGTGCTACAAGAACCAAATACAGTCCTGGTACAGAAATAGATAGCAGCAACGTCAATGCCTTTCTGGCCACAGTATCTATGTTTTTTTTATCAGCTTTGTAATTTTGAAATATAAAATATAACTTGATTTCCAGCACAAATATATATAGGAACCACAATATCATGGCGTATCCTCGTTTTGCAGTTTTTACCTCTGCCCCAACCCACACAGCCACATAGCGCAGTACAATCAAGAAGCAGATATCACCAACTAGTACGATAATACAAACTCCAATTTTACGTGGTCCTTGGTTTTGTTCCACAAGGTATGCATCCATAAAAGCCATGCTGGTCATGATTACAATTGTTGTAAGACACACATGACGCTTGTCTGGTGGTGGGAGCACCATGATGAGAATGAAGAAAGACTTTGCTGGCACTTAACCACAGGTCGCAATAAAGGCAGTACACTTTACATAAATGAAATCATTTGTTATTAATAAAGTTTAATATCACATCTAAAAACTAGCTTGATCACTGCACAACTTTCATGATAAAATTTTGTTTATCATTATTTCAAATAGAAGGAAGTGACACAAGATTTATTTATTGTACTCTTAATGCAGATTTTCCAACTTTGTGATAGATAAGATCCAAACAAGAACATATATGTAAAATCTGTATTGCTTTTTTGTAAGATTGTCCTTAAGATTTGATGGTTAAAATGATTTTGCAAATATATGGTACAAAACAGTGAATGTTCAATATGTTGTCCTGCTATTATAAGGATTTCAAGTCAGGGAATTAAAAAGCAAAATAAATATGGAATTAGAAGCATATCCTGAAGATGAAAATTTTGAAAGGATACAGATAGTTGGCCTTTTCTTTTAGCTGATGATGGAGGCATTTTTCAGCTGAACAAATTCCCAAGTTTAGCACAAAAACCTACATTATTCCTACTTCTTGCAGTTCTGAAAAAAAATAGAAAGGACATGATTAATATTAATTGACAAACTTTTTATCCAGATTTTTTTAAGGAACAATTTTACTAAGAATAATATATGTTTTAAGTAATTCAACTTAATTAGTAATATTATAACAGAGACAATGAGACATTCTAAGAATCTCATACACATTTTACTAAACTGATATATAAAAAGTTAGCTTTTGCCTTGAACTTAAATGTATCATTAAATGCAATAATGGTCTTTAATTTCCAAGTATATTTTAATTGTCAATGCAAATATTTGCTTGTTAGTCAAAGGTTTTTCCATTAAGTAAAAATCCATTGTAGTTCTACAATTCAAACTGTCTGTCAGTTGCTTATCTATCAATAACAAATGTGTGAATGCATGAATTTTTTTAATGAGTGAATAAATGTTATGCAAGTACTGTTAACACTAGGGATTGTTTTCACTATTTCAACAGGTGTTGGAAAATATCTATATATGCCTTTCAGTCCTGGGTGGAGTACTTTTGGATTCTGCCACAACTAAAAAATAGACACCAAAATCACTTCCTATTAGGTTTTTTTTTTTTTTTTTTAGATTTAGGGCATCTGTTTGAAAAAAAAATATATAGTTTTTTTAAATGCCAATCCATTGTCAAATTTCCCCTTGACAGCCACGCCACCCACTCTGAGATAATCATTTTTTGTCATCTCAGTCCAATGCTTCTCACATTGGAAATAGAAACATAGAAACATCTTAGTATCATCAGCAAAAAGACATACCTTACCATCAAGACCTTCTGCAATATCACTAATAAAAATATTAAAGATAATAGGTCCAAGTACAGATCCCTGAGGTACCCCACTGGTGACAAGTCCAAGCTTAGAATATATTCCATTAACTACAACCCTCTGTTGTCTGTCACTCAGCCACTGCCTTACCCATTCAACAATATTGGAATCCAAACTTAAAGATTGCAGTTTATTGATAAGCCTTCTATGTGCAACAGTGTCAAAAGCCTTACTGAAATCTAGGTAAGCAATGTCTACTTCACCACCCTGATCTATAATTTTAGTTACCCAATCAAAAAAAATCAATAAGATTAGTTTGGCATGATCTCCCTGAAGTAAGACTCCTGCCAGAGAGGAGTACCGACCAGCAGCACCCCCAGCAGCTACCGTCTACCAACCACCGACGAACCGGCCGTCAGCACCCGCTCCATCTAATAACTACCAGCAGCCGCCCCAGTTCAACTCACGGGATTACTCGCAACCCATCAGATGTTTTGGGTGCAAGCAGCTAGGGCACAAATGACCAGAGTGCCCGCTGAACAATGCTAACCAGGCCCAGTCTTGGAGGAGACCAGCCAGCGGAAATCAACTACCCCCTCCCCCGGCTGCCCACTGTGTGGAGGAAGAGGAATGCTGGGGCATTCTGCATGAGGCAGACCCTGTCCAAGCTGCCCACTGGGATAACCGACAGCACCACCGGCAATTTGTCAAAGTCAACGGGAAGGAGGTCAGTGGTCTGCGGGATACTGGTGCAACCCTGACATTGCTTCAAAAGCAATTGGTGTTTGAGAACCAACACACTGGAGACACTGTGGCGGTGCGAGTAGCCAGAGGCGCTGTGTTTCGCCTACCCGTTGCCTGGGTACATTTGGATTGGGGAGTGGGCGCTAGACATGTGAATGTGGGGGTCATGAGGGACTTACCAGCGGATGTCCTCTTTGGAAATGACTTGGATCCCCTTGTTTCTGCCTACGCTCCCATGGGTCCCGCTGAAGTGAACGCTGTCACGACCTGTGCCCAGACCCGTGCCGCCGAGACTGGCCCACCTGCTGCTGAGACCCAGGTAAGACTCTCTACCCCGACTTGTACCTGAGATCAGGCCCCTTTAGGCTTGGACATCCCAGAGATGTACGGGAGGGAAACCCGGAAAGACCCGACTTTAGAGAAGTATAGGGCCAGATTACGAGGGGGTCGATGGGGAGCGTTACGAGTGGGTGGGGGATAGGCTGTTCAGGATTCCTAAACCGTCCCAGAAACCAAATACCCCTCCGCAGAATCGGCAGCTGGTGGTGCCTGCGAAATACCGGCAGGAGATTCTGCGGATTGGGCATGATGTGCCATTATCGGGCCATCTAGGCTCCCGCCGCACAGCTCATAGGATCACCCAAAATTTCTTCTGGCCTAATTTCAACCGAGATGTGCGGGTCTATTGTAGTACGTGTGACACATGTCAACGGGTAGGTAAACGGGGGGATCACCCAAAGGCTAGGCTCATATCGATGCTTATCATTGGAGAACCCTTTTCCCGCATAGTCGTTGACATTGTGGGTCCACTAGCCAGGGCTAGCCCATCTGGTAAGAAGTATATTCTCACCGTGGTGGACTATGCCACCTGTTATCCAGAGGCAGTAGCTCTGTCTAATATAGAGGCAGAGATGGTTGCTGATGCCCTGGTTAAATTTTTTACTAGGGTCGGGTTCCCTCAGGAGATCCTCTCCGACCAGGGAACTCAGTTTACCGCTGTGCTTACCCAGCAGCTGTGGAAGGTGTGCGGCATTAAACCGCTGCTTAGCTCACCTTATCACCCACAGACTAATGGTCTCTGCGAGTGATTTAATGACACCCTCAAACAGATGTTGAAGACCTTTACTAACACTTGCAGAGACTGGGAGTTATTTGCATACAGAGAGGTGCCCCAGGAATCTACTGGGTTCTCTCCCTTTGAGCTACTCTATGGGAGAAGGGTCCGCGGACCCCTAGATCTCATTAGAGGACACTGGGAGGGAGAGACGGAGCAAGAGGGAACCCCCATCATGCCATACGTTCTGGAACTCCGGGACCGCATGGATAAACTGTCCCTGATGGTAAGGGAGAATCTGCAGGCGGCCCAGGGGAGACAGAAGAGGTGGTACGATCGGGGTGCCTGACAGCGGGTCTTTCAGGTTGGGCAAAAGGTTCTAGTGCTCAAGCCTGTGAAGACGAACAAGATACAAGCATCTTGGCAGGGCCTGTATAAAGTGTTAGCTCAGGTGTGTGATACTACCTATCTTATAGCCAGCTGTGCAGATGAAAGGATTCAGCGATCCTTTCATGTGAATAGGCTGAAGGAGTATCAGGAGAGACCAGAAGATGTCGCTGCAGTGTGTGCCCCGGCTGCCGACGAACCCGAGAATTTACCCTTGCCCGACCTATTAGAGAAGGACCCCCAGACTGATCTCACTAGTCTTGTACAGCTAGGGGACCGGTTAAGCCCCACAGAGAAGGTACAGGCAAGACAGCTTCTGTGGGAGAAGCAGGCGACGTTCTCCCAAGAACCTGGCTAAACTACCCTAGCTGTACACAAGGTAGAGACCCCCGGACAGAGTCCCCTACGACAGCCCCCCTATCGTATCCCTGAAGCAGTCCGGGAAGGAATGCGGAAGGAGATACAGGAGATGACTCAGCTTGGAGTCATCGAACACTCAGACAGCCCTTGGGCCTTGCCTGTAGTCCTGGTGCCTAAGAAAGATGGGACCACCCGGTTCTGTGTGGACTACAGGCGGCTCAACGAACGGACCACCACTGACGCCTACCCGAAGCCCCGGGTAGACGAGTTATTAGACCGCATTGCCAGTGGGAGCTATCTGACCACCATAGACCTGTGTAAGGGTTATTGGCAGATCCAACTGGCCAAGGATGCTATCCCTAAGTTGGCATTCGTCACCCCATTTGGTCTGTACCAGTTTAAGGTCATGCTATTTGGGATGAAGAATGCTCCGGCTACCTTCCAGCATATGGTGGATAGGCTTCTCGATGGCTTCCAGGAATTTGCATGTGCATTCCTGGATGACATTGCGGTCTACAGTGAGTCCTGGGAAGAACATCTGGTACATGTAGGGGTGGTTCTGGACAAGATTCGGGATGCTGGCCTGACCTTGAAGCCAGACAAGTGCCATCTAGGCATGGCAGAAGTGCAGTACTTGGGTCACAGGGTAGGATGTGGGAGCCAGAGACCAGAGCCAGCCAAGGTAGAAGCTGTAGCTAACTGTCCCACACCTATCACCAAGACCCAAGTGCTGGCCTGGGAACAGCAGGGTATTACCGACGCTTTGTCCCCAACTACAGTACTATTGCTAAACCCCTGACTGACCTGACGAAAAAGAACTTACCTAAGCAGGTCCTGTGGTCTCCAGCTTGTGAAGCCGCGTTTCATGCATTGAAGCAAGCTCTGGTGAATGCCCCTGTCCTGGCTGCCCCAGTCCCTAACAAATGTTTTCTGGTCCATACAGATGCTTCCATGTATGGACTGGGGGCTGTGCTGAGCCAGGTCGGGGAAGATGGAGGAGAGCACCCTGTCACATATCTCAGCATGAAGTTACTACCCCGGGAAGTGAGTTATGCCGCAGTGGAGAAGGAGTGTTTGGCCCTGGTCTGGGCATTAAAGAAATTGAGCAACTATTTGTACGGGCAGGAGTTCTCTCTTATAACGGACCACAATCCCCTTGTCTGGCTTAACCCGGTCTCAGGAGACAATGGTAGACTGCTGCGGTGGAGTTTAGCTTTACAACCTTACAACTTCATCAGCTACCGAACCGGTAAGCAGAACGGGAATGCAGATGGATTGTCCCGGCAAACCGACGTCCTTATTACCCC